CACAGTCTGCATGTTGGTGCAGGGAGCTTGTAAGAAAGACAGTGTGTAGTAGGTGTCAGGGGAAGGAGATTAGAGGTGTGTATGAGGCTGTCTTCAATTTTCTAGCTTCTATGGGGCACCAAACTTATGTCCTTGACTCACCTCACTTCCTTAAACTAAATTAAATTAAGATTGGAACAATCTTAAGTTATTGTTTTATTTTACATTTTTAGGTTTATTATCCATCTTAATTTTTGTATATGGTGTTAGCTAGAGGTCAATGTTTACTTTTTTTCCCCCTATAGAGCTATCCAATTGAATCAACATCATTTATGGAAATCCTTTCTCCACAAAAGTTTAGATGAGAAAACAAAATATGGTGGTTACTACTTCCCAGAAATATCGTTGTTTGCAAGTAAAAATGGAAAACTGTTACCTCTCAGTCAGGCCAAAGCCTCTCTCTTAGTAAAGTGCCTGTCCCCTCCTTGTTTACCTGTGCCTTCCTTTTTTTGTAAGGGCCTTCCTAAAGATCACAGAAAGTGGCCAAAACACCCTATTATCCTCAGTTTTTCTACCAAATCCCATAAAGCTTCCAACCTTTGTATGCACATAAATGATCATGTCATCAACAGCTTAACAGTTTCAGATTCCCAACTGGCTGCTGGGAGGAAAACGGGGCACAAGGCACAGCCCCTACCCCATTTTTGACACAGCCAACAACATAATGAATAAGAGAGGTTAAGCAATTTGTTCAGAATTAAAGAATTCTTGAGTAACTCTAGTCATATCTCAATCAGATGTATCTCCAAAGGCTCTTGTGAATGTTTCCTATTATAAATCTTAAAAATCAAGTCTCAAAAAATTTTCCTCCATAATGCATCTGAGAAATATCTCATAATTTCATAAATAACTGTGGATGGATCCCTACTATGATAGAGGCCCAGTGTAAAGGGAGGGGGACATAGCAGAATTCCCACAGGGTGGAGAAGTGCTCTTTGGGAAAAATAAAATTCCCAATATTCCTCCAACAACTTGTTCGTCCACAGTGAAAATTACTGTTACACTTCACAAACTAATATTGGAATGGCTCTTTGCATAAGTTTAAGGACCCTAGAGAAAACTAATTATTATGAAGGCCAGCAATCTAGAATTTGAGATTACAACTGTAAAGAACAGATTTTTTACTAAATGTAGAAATAAAGTATTAGAAACAAAAATAGGAAACATTTTCAAATATGTTAGTTTTATTTATTTATACATTCCTAATCAATGTCAAATACAACAAATTTTATATAGATTCAACAGGACCAATACTCAACAAACTGATAGCAGTCCATGGAAAATGTTTTATGTGGTAGATTTTAAGTAATGTAACTGCACCGTAATTTTACAAACTAGAAATAAGACTGTGAAATCCATAATGCTTTTCATATAAAATCAGTGAACTTGTATTGTAATTACATCACCAAAGCATTGGCATTGAAGTGTTCCTATGCACAAAATACTATACAGATATTAATTATTCTTTAACACAAATTAAACATACAGGGTATGGCATTTAAGCTAACAGTATTTCTATCCTTTCAAAGTTTTGATTCTATCAGACATTGATAATTTGAGTGAAAGAAGTTTATATGATAATCTTGGAAACTAAGCTACTAAATTAGTCTTTAATGAAAAATGTGAATTAACCTACATCCAAATATAAGGTGAATTTTGTGAATTCATTTACTCTTTGTAAAATTTTCCCTTGGGGAAAAAAAAAATCACTTTTTACTTAAGTCCTTACAAGAATCTTTCAGATTTTGTTACTTTCCTATTTCATTTAGAAAAATAATGTATTGTTCGGAAAAGTCACATAATCTTAAAACCTCAATAATACTAATTCAAAATGCTTCTAAAAATCCCCTGACAATTGGCCAGGTGCAGTGGCTCATGCCTGTAATCCCAGCACTTTAGGAGGCCGAGGCGGGCAGATCATGAGGTCAGGAGTTCGAGACCAATCTGGCCAACATAATAAAACCCTGTCTCTACTAAAAATACAAAAAATTAGCCTGGTGTGGTGGTGGGTGTCTGTAATTGAGCCACTGGGGAGGCTGAAGCAGGAGAATCACATGAACCTGGGAGGCACAGGCTGCAGTGAGCTGAGATCGAACCACTGCACTCCAGCTTGGGCAATAGCATGACACTGTCTCAAGGAAAAAAAAAAATTTCCTGACAATTGGTTTAAGAATAATAGAGGTAAGCCAGGCGTGGTGACTGTCACCTAGATTCCCAGTACTTTGGGAGACCAGGCAGGCGGATCACAAAGTCAGGAGATGGAGACCATCCTGGCTAACACAGTGAAACCCAGTCTCTAATAAAAATACAAAAAGTGGTGGCACACACCTGTAATCCCAGCTACTTGGGAGGCTGAGGCAGGAGAATTGCTTGAATCCGGGAGGTGGAAGTTGCAGTGAGCTGAGATAGTGCCACTGCACTCCAGCCTGGGCAACAGGGTGAGACTCTGTTTCAAAAAAAAAAAAAAAGAGATAAAATAATTTAACACAAATTTATTAATTACGCAGTGTGTACAGCCTCATATTTTAACTATTAAATGTTCACTGTGTTTTTGACTGTATTTTTACGATTTGAAATAGAATTTCCAGTGGTTGCATCAAACAGATTCAGAAACTGGCATATCAACTTTGCTAGAAGACAACTTTATATAAATTAGTAAATGACCATGGTCACTTATGAATGAAGACAATGATGCAAAGATTCATGTGAAAAGTTTAGATGGGTGGAGAACTAGTCTCCATTTCTATTATAAATTCAGCTTCACTGGACTTTTTCATCCATCCAACTAAAACTTATATTAGAATTGGCTAAAAACGTTTTTGTCATTAAAAGAGGAGACTATTGCATATATGGGAATGGATGGTGGCTTTACTCCTTACATTTATGGACTACAGAATCTCATTCTTAAAGAAACCAATAGCAAAGAGTTTTCTGGCTTGAAAACATTTTCACCGTGAGAACTCTGAGCCTCCGGCAGCCCATTTTATCTCTGGACATTCTTTTTGTTGCTTCCTTACCTTGAACTGAATTCAATTTCCCTGTTATCTCTGCCCATATTACTGCCACAGTTGCAGACATGCTGAGTAAATCTGACCCCTTCATATATTTGAAGCAAGCTGATAAGTTCTGTTTTGTCCCTGTCACTGAGTCTCAGATATCAAGTATCAAGGCTTTTATGTTGAACATTAGATTGTATAAGAAAGAAACTAAGACAAACAGAAAAATGAAAAATTTCCAATTGAGGATTTTAAGTGAAAACTGAACAATTACAGTAGCTAAAAATTTATGAAGACTGAAGCTGTGTCTTTTTTTTTTCTTTTTTTTTTTTTTGCGGCTGTATAGACAATAAAAGACATTTATAAAACATTTGTTGAAATAATAAATCTGGGCAAAGCAGGAGGATTGCTCAAAGCCAGGAGCTCGAGACCCACCCACTCTTACAGAAAAAAATTAAAATTAGCTGCATGTAGCGGTATGTGCCTCTAGTCCTAGCTACTCGGGAGGCTAAAGCAGGAGGATCACTTAAAACCAGGAATTCTAGGCTGCAATGAGCTGATTAAGCCACTGCACTTGAGCCTGGGTGACAGAGACCCTCCTTCTAAAAATAAATAAACAAACAGAAAGAATAAATCACACAAAAAATTGCCAGTTGGCACTAGTTGATTATCATTTCAGTTTACCAGAGATGAGCTTAGAGAAAAGTTGAGCACTTGACTACAGTGAGGTATGCTGGCAGGAAAAAAATCAGGTAATTTCCCCATCTGTATTCAATATTCATTATTCTAAATCTGTCTAACATTTATATCTATCCACATATATCAACCAATAATCTTGCTAGTTTATATCTGCTTATGTTTATTCATTTTCAGTAAAAGCATAAAAACCAGAGGATTTTTCCAAGACATTTGAACCTAAATATTTGTAATTAATGTTTATGTTAAAAAATTTTTTTTTCATTTCTATCCAAAATGTTAGAACTTAAATGCAAAAAGTAGCTAAGCAAACTTAAAAATATTGGAATTTCACATTCCTGAGGACTTGGTTTTTAATCTGTGGTAAATAATGACATAAATTCTAAAGTGAGAAATCAACTAAATCTAAAAAACATTATAGTTAATATTTGAGCTGTTACTGTATGCCAGTCACTGTTCTAAATATACCTCATGGGCAACTCGTTTATCTTCACAATCCAGTGAAACAGGTGGCATCATCCTCCAATTAGAGAACTCAGGAACAGAAAGGTTAAATGGCTCACTCAACTTTACAGAGGTAAATGACAGAGTAAGAACTGAACCAGGGAGCGTGACACAAGAGCTTCCACACACACAGTGCAGTACAGACTCTCACAGAGACAAGGAGCCGCCATCACATTCCCATGAAATTCATCAACAGCTGAGCGTGCTTGGTCACTCTTATCAGAAGAGGCCCATCCTAACCAGCCAGTCTGCAAATTCACAGGTTTGTGGGTCCATGTTTCAGGCTGTTATTCCTGTGCCAGGAATATATATATATATATAAAGGAAATTTTTAAATTAACATTTGTATAGAGCTTTTTTCCATAATATACTTGATACTATTTAAAACAAAACAAAATTTAAAAAAACTTGGTTTTAAATGTGGTTGTGTGGTATCAAAGATAATTCAGCACTTGACTTCAGGATTGAAATACAATTCTTTTCAAGTTAAACTAGAAGATATGCTTTTGGAAAAAGTATTTTAAAATTATCAGGTTTGTCAAATACAAACTATATCAAACCTATGAATCTCAGGTTCTTCATTGGTAATATAGTAGAATGAGACTGCAACCTGATCTCTCTCAAGTCTAAAATTCTATATTTCTATAATTATGAAAAACATAACTTTAATGCAAGGAAACACTTTCTTAAAAATAACAGTCATAGCTATTGTCTCTGTACAGATATTGCAAAAAAACCAAGATACACAGTAAAAATAACCAACAATTACAGGTTTTCAATTACTTTATTTTAGAAAAACAAAGGTTTACAATTTGTGCCATAGGCAGAATATCATGAATTCAACAAGTTAGTAATGCAGACTTTCAAAAAACCTCTATAGATTAGTCCAAAGTAGAAAATTATTTTTTGCCCACTCTTGGACTCAGACACATTCAGAAAAAATATATATTTATAAAAATAAAATGGCAAGCCTAATCCCACCAATTGATAGTATCCCACACTGGATTATTTGATCAGTTAATGCATAAGAATAGAGTTGAATGATTGCTTTCCCTGTCCTAACTCCATGTCATATGAAGCAATGATGAAAATATTTGTTACATTTTGCAAAACTAAAATAAAAAGGCCCCCAAAGCAAAACACAAAGTCACTAATAAAATCCACTAAACGAAAACAATATTGCTAATTTACCTACTCATATAGACCTCTCCTTCAGTCCCCCAGATATTTGGCATCTTAATGTTATTTCCAAATCATATATCAGAAAGCAACTATGTGAGAAAGAAAATGAAAATTCTAGGTCTAATACATGTTAAACAAATTTCAAATAACAGTAGCTGAGAAAAATATTGATGCACATAATGAAACAAAATGAACTGCCAGATATAATGTGGTCCATTGGGTACTTGATAAAAACATGCACTTTGTCTCACTGCAATATCCTTAAATATTGTCTGAGCACCAAATTCAGCAAAAGCAAGGATCTAGAATTCTGAATTTTAGGAGTTATAAAGAGAATTTCATTGCAATTAAAAGAGAAGGCAAAAGCTGCAACTTCTTGAAGGACTCCATTATTCATAATCATGACAAAATATATTATGGAATTAGAATGATACCTATGTTCTTCTACTAGATTCAGTTATTAAGAGATCTGTCTTCATCTGGAAGTAATTTTTTACAGATGAAACTAACATTCATAGTAATCTCTGATATCACATTGAAAAGTTTTCTAGCAAACAAATTTTAAAATCTTGTTTTGTGAGTAGTCTGACAATGTAAATAAACTTCTCCCAAAGTAGAAAAAAAAGAAAAATTTTAATACAAAAAGAAATAAAAATTATTCACTTATAAACCACCTACACATTTTGTTTTCCCAATAGACACACTTTAAAAGCACAAATAGAATATAAGGCAACAGTGCAAAGCTGTGAAAGGGTAGCAGAGAACAGAGGCATTCATTTATAAAGAATATCACAGAATATCAAGGAAGATTACTGGATGTTTGCTGATTCACATTGAGCTTTACTCTTTTTCTTCTTTTTTTCCCCCCCATTAGGGTCTTTCATTTACAGATAGGACAAAAATATGCAGATGAATAACTATAAATATGAAAAAATTTGATGACATTTTCTATAACTATTTCCCCATGTCACTGACTGCTAAGTTTTCATTTCCTTACTAGGCTGTTTCAAGTGAGGCATCCGTACTCATCTAAGCTTTTCACTACTGAAAAACAAGCTTGACTATTGGGAACATTAAAATTTATCTTCCCAAGAATCCCTCATTATTCTTTGGAGAAGAATCTACTTGTTAAGCTAACAGCATTTACCTCCAGTTTCCACTTAATATCATTTCACTCTAGCAGTTCCTGAATTTTGGACTGCATATTTGCTTCATTATAAAAAAAATTATGGAGTGTCAAACAATAAGAATAGGTATTTAATTATTAAATACTAAAAGAGCACATGAATAAAATAAAACAATTACTAGCAATTCCTTAGTACTTAAGATATAAGAGTCCATACAGTCTTGATTAGTATGGCATTAGAAACAAGAGAAGGCTGCCCTTGGTGACTAAAGGCCTAAGCAACTTCAGTGTTGGGACCATGAATTACATATTTTTAAATAAATGTTCAATAAAATTCTTTATAGTGGATAATTACTCAATGAGTAACCACCCAAATCACAGTTGCCTAATGTAAACTCTAAACTTAGCTAAAATGAAGGCCTTAAAAATAATTTATCTACAATAAATATACCCAAGTGTTACTTTAAAAAAATTTTTAGACATCGCTTTGGATAGAATTCCTGTGTTAGTTTATTATAAATAGAAGTTGAGGGTCACTTGATGAAATGGGTGACAGAACTAAGGGAATGGAGAAGGTAAATGACGTTTTCCCCCCACTGGAAGTGACTTGTCACTGGACATGCCGACATCACTCATTACTCATTATGAAGCAGACACGGACAGGTCTACAGCATTATATAATAGATGTGCCAATAAACTTTATGTGCCTGTGGGTACAAACACACATATTCTAAAGAATAGGTTACCATAAAGTTTATACCACTATAAACAAAAATGTGATACATATTACTGTTCAAAAAGCAGAAGATTTTTATCAAAGGAAATGTTAGAAGAAATCTCAATATATAAAATAGAAATGAAACAAACACTAGGCTGTTCCGCTGAAGCATGGTGGATTAACAGAGACCCTTCCCAACCTACAATGACTGATAAAATATCTGTTCAGGGTATTCCAGGGAATGGGCTGAAACAGTACTGTTAAATCCTGTTAATTTTGTGAAAGTCAATCAGAAGACTTTTCTTACCCCATTATCTATGCCCATACGAAAATTTTATGATAATATAACTGAGTATAAAGTTAAAAAGTAACATTTCTTCTCCTTTAAAAATAACTAACAAAATAAAAACACTATGCTATATAAAACCACATTATTTTTAACCTCATAATCTTAATTTGATACACGGAAAAAGTTATTAGTTCTCCTTAAAGTGCCTAAATTTTAAAGACTTAATTTTGTCCATAGAAATCTTGTCCAAAATATCTGAGGAATACGGATGGCAGCAGGTGGAGGTATTATTTTTCTACATCATACATGTATCTTCTACCTGACTGACCATTTAAATACTCTGCCCAAGAATCTTAACTTTTTGTCACAGAATATTCAGACAGAGAAACATGCGAACAGAACTGATCTGTTATAATCACATATGTAGGTAAATTTTGATGGAGTGCTGTTTGTTTTAGACAAACTGTTCATCTCTTTGCTCCAAATACTTCCCCATCTATGAAGGGACTACTTTAATCCATGCAGTTGATATTAGCAAAATACAAATAACATGTTCTTTTCTGTAAAGATCACGATTAAATGTCTAAATTCAATAAATAGACTCTTTAATAATTTGAAGTCCTATCAAATATTTTATAGCAATCAAGTCTCAATCTTTCTTCTTTTCTAATACATCCTTGGGCTCCTGCACTGTGGGCACTACAGATCCTCCACTGCTTGGCTCCTGCTGTTCTTTGCTCTCTTCTTTGTGTTCTTGGTTTTCATTTTCACTTTTAGACACTTCATATCGTTCTTCTATATAACCTCCATCTGTGTCAGCTGTGTAGATTCCATAGCACATGATACTGATGACACCCAGTGGCAGGCCAAAGAGAAAGCAGCCCATTAGTGGTGAGCTCTTGAATATAGACTGTGGAGAGAGAATTAAAACTCAGTTCCTCTCAGATGTAATTCTGATATATAAAGCATGAAACGAGTTTGAAACCTATAGATTTCTTTCTCTTGTGACTATTCAACTTGTCTTTAGTTCTAATAAATTGAAGTCAATTATTTCAGCAGTAACTACCATGTTAAAGACACTGTTAAGAGGTAATTTCTATGTGCACATACATAGGGTGTGTGTGTGTGTGTGTGTGTGTGTGTGTGTGCATGCGCGTGCAGAATCAGCAATTAGCAGCAGAAAAAGACATCAAATATTCTATAACCTTTCCTAAAGAAACTGAGTTTTCTCACATTAATTACAAAGGTGTCTTTATGATGCTTACTATGTGCGCCCAGCAGCTTTAGAGTTGTTTCCCGAACTACAGGAATCTGCTTAAGAAGAGGGCTGGGTTATTTACCACAAAGAAGGTACACACATATTCTCTTCATATGATATTTTTAATATTTTTTATTTATCTGGTTAGCAGTAAAGCCTCATTAACTTATTAATTTCCCTCAATTTACATACTGTCTTCACAGTTCCCAGAAAAGTAAAAGTTATTTTAATGAATAGGGTTTTCAATTATAATATACAGCATGAATTGCAACTGTAACTCTTGAGAACATAGACAAGTTCAGAGAAGAAATAGATCACTGTTGATTGAGATAGCAAAAGAAAGTTTCACAGAATAAAGGTGTGTTTTGAGGTAGGAATTTAAGAATGAGTGAGAAGGAGGCGGGATATGGGACAGGTAAGCACCAGGCAATTTGCACCGGTGAAACCTAACATTAAAAATCCAATGAGGAAAATACTTTAGATGGACAGAATATTCTGATGTACACCCCTGGGAAAGGGAAGGAAAGTGATCAAAACTGAATATTTTAGTAATATTAATTGTGTAGTGGAATACAATGTAGATTGGAGACTGGGCAAGAGGAAGTATGGAAACCAGGTGACAGTGAGAGTAGCAGCTGCATAGAATGTAATTAGGGCCCAATCCATGCTCCTGATAACAGGAAAATAGAGCAAACTGATGGATCCTATGCAAGTAATAAACCAAAGATTCCCAGAATTTACTTAGCCATATCTTTATGACTGCTTTGGGCCACAATGAATGAAAAGGCCCACATAACAGCTCAAGAAAAACAATGGGAACTAAGTTTAGGGCTCAAGCAAATTTAGGAATTCCTCTGCTGTCAGGGTGATTGACAGTTAAAGCTGGGATAGTAAGAACAGTTTCTTAAGAGTTTCAAGCAAGAAGGTTCAGATTCAAGAACTGAAAAGGGAAAAGGGAGGATAAGGATGCTGAAAACACTGACTGGAGAGATGGAGCAGGAGCAAGGGAGTGGGATATTCACAGCAGCAAGGGAAAGAATGCCAAGGAAGGGATGCTTCAAAGAAATCCAGGGGAAATACATCAATAGATCTAATCATTAGTAGGCAATTGGTGAGAATGGGCATTAGTTTGATAGAATGAAAGGAAGAGGAAATTCAAATGGCAGAAATAATCAGGTGAGAGGTGACAGTGAATAAAGTCAAGAAAATATACTTGGAAAGTATAATTATAAAAACAAGAAAGACATGTAATTAGGGGCAGATGTGTCAATTTATCTAGCATTGTTAATATTTTACTTACATATAACAACTGTGAATAAACACTGGGACAAACAAATGAAACAAAACACTGCTAGAAAGGATTTGATCCATCACCTTTTAATTTCACATTTAAAGTCTTCTATAAAAGAAAAGAAAAAAAAAGTAGAAAAAGGGAAGAAGGAAAAAAATCTGTAAAGAATCCTAATTATTTAACAACTAGGGAAAACTACAAAATTAACAGGGATGTTTAAACTTTAAGATCTAAAATTTTCTTTCTGACTCCTGCAAAATAAAGTGACTTCCTGGTATACATCATTTTCTTCAACAAAAATGACTAATTTACAGAAGACAGCATGTAATGGAACTAAAAATTTCAAATCATCTGCACTTTCAACAAGTCACAGAAATTACCAAGTAAAAAACTCACATGGTAGGTTGCAGAAATAAAAATCTTTTGAGTCATACTGTCAAGTTAATTGATTCTGAATTTTAGTTTTAATTCATAAATCATACAAAAATAAACAATTTCCACCTGATGAATATATTTTCTTAAATACTGGCTAGTCATATCCTAAAAATTAAAGACATATTTTGACTTAATCTTTTCAAATTCAGATTTTTACCACGGGTAGACATAAAGAACCTACGTGTTCTTAGTTATCAATGACATAAACTGCTACAACTTACCACAACAGTAGATTTGGCATCAAATACTATTCTTTTCAATCTCTGCCAAATGCTATCACCTCCTTGGGCCTTCAAAAAAGGAAAATGAAAATAAATAAATAATTTAAGTACTATTAGTTCATTTCTTCGGTGTTACATAACCTTACAATTGCAGGCCAAATTGTTGACTCCAAATATCACATAATCACCTGAAAAGGCCATGTGGTAAACATTTATTGTTTTTTTTTTTGGTTTCCTGTCCAGCATTCCTCCTACCTGCTTGTGTTAATTCACCCTGATCCTACTCTAAACAATTCCTCCTCCTCTACTCATAATGTCTATTCAGCTTGGCTGAAGTTGATCTACCCCTGAGATCAGCCAACCAGCTTTTGAGTTTAGCTGGGATTGCAAAACCAGAGCTGAAGCAGGATACCTTTGCCACTGTGCAGGGAGAGACTCCCTGAAGATGGAAAGTGCTGAAGGCAGAGAGAGAAAAATTCCTAATAAAAATCAATCGAATCCTGTATTCAGCTGTACCTGCAAACTGGCTCATTTTTTAATTTGCAAGCTCTATGAGACAATAAAGTCTCTTGAAAAACAGTCTGAGTTGCATTCCACTAACTGAAAAACAGATGCCTGATTATTTATATAGGTGAGTTTCATTTCAACAAATTATTTTCAAAAAATAATTTAATAGTGTTTTTCAAACTTCTTCACCTTGACGGAAAGTAGTTAGGTTTGTTATTCTGTGAGCCCATTTTAAATATAGTTTGTGTAAAACTGAAACAACTCTCACAACACAGTTATTAAATTTCACAAAAGCAATGAAGGCTCTTCCTTTTTAAATTTTATTCTAGTCTATTGAATTAAGATGCATGCTGGTCACAACCTGATTGTGACTTGCAGTGGTTTTGTGACTTTCTAATATAGGTAGCAATTCACAATTTGAAAAACATGGTAATTAAAATTTACAGAAAAATAATAGAAAATTAAGACTATCCATTCACTTATTTCTGAGAAATATTTTATAGGATTAAATCTAGAACTCTCCATAGGGGCTTTTATTCTCAGTACATTTCCTTATTTCTTAAGAAACTGTGGTCTTATTTGCAGATTTTCTTAGAAAACCAAACCTAACAATTCAATCCAATTGTACTTTTGGATCTAGAAACATACTAAGAGCCAGGCAAGTTCACTATTTAGATTATCCCACATAATGCAGGCCTCTTAGATTGCTAGTCCTCAAACTTATATGCCAACACCTTCCCATCACCGTGACAACCAAAAATATCCTCCAAATAACCCCTAAAAGGACATTTCCATCTTTTAGCAACCTCTGCCATAGAAGAACCTTCTGTATCTGAAACTCTTCTCTGCCTATAACTGGAGAGAAGCAATTTATGAAGGCCCAGCCCTCTACTCCCCAGTGATGGCCAACTATTCTTTTCAGAATCAGAAATAAAGAAATGAACTAGTTTCTCCTCTACCCTCTACCCATCATCCCTTTGAAATAGAAGTGAACAACTTACTTCTACTATGCCATCCAAAATGTTGTTAATAAACTGGACCATGTCTTCAACATTCTTAATCTGTCTATCTAGCAAGAAATATTGTTGGTTTGAAGTATTCAGTACAACTACAGTTGGGACTGTCAATTCACTGAAAATATAAAACAATTAAAAATATACATTAAACACGGCAATAACAAGTATTCTGATATTTATTTATATCTCAGTAGCTATAATTACAGAAGCTATTTAATAAATTTGGGTATATTTTATATTAGTAAATGATGAAATAGACCTAGTACTCACATATATTTTATGCAATCATGACACATCTTTTTATTTTTTCAGTATTTCTAGGGTATGCAATCCATCTTTAAGTCTTTTCAAATTATCAAAAATCTCAAAAAAATTTTACATATATGTATTGAAAAAAATTCCTATGGGTAGACCCACAGAATTCAAACTTATGTCGTTCAAGGGTCAATAGTCCCTTTAATAACTGTATGGATACTCTGTCTTGATTCTTCATTATAACCTGTATCTGGTACTTTATCTTTGGCAAACCCTCTTAAGTTCTTACTGAAATGAGAGGGATAATAAATGAAGTAAGGTAATGCTACATTATATTTCAAGATTTCAGCTGAAAATGATGAATGTTACTTTAGATTTGTAAGTTTACTCTCTTCCCCGCTCAGTGTTCTTACTTAGAAAATGGAAGACACCAAAATAACCTAATATATTACAATAATGAATAAAGGTATTTGCTACACCTATGATACTAAGCAAAGCTGGAGAAAACCAAAACACCACATCATGTTGTTGAACTTCCACTGGGCCCTCAATGCTGCTGGATAAGAGTTAATGTGTCTCTAGTGAGATTTCCCCATCTTCACTTTAGAGGTTAGCTTATTTCTCTAGAACTCTACTCTCCTAATCCCAGTTTTCCTACTACCTGTCATACTTGCTATTATGTTCTGTCTGAAATCCTCTCCCTGCGTTCTTCATTCAGCTAACTTCTCACTCGTTAGACCTTTTCTTAATTATTGCCTTTTCCAGAAAACGTTTCCTGAGCGCTTCTACCTTAGTGTACACTGGGTGCAGGTGAGGGGGGCGTGGTGAGGGCTCTATGTTCCAGAGCCCTGTCCTACACAGATTTTTTTTCATACAGTTCTGTAATTAACATTTGTGGTCTTATCCAGGAAACTATAAGCATTTGAAGACAGAGACTCTATTCATTTTTGTATCAACAATGTCTAACACAGTGTACATCATACAGTAAATACTCAGTAATTGTTCACTGAATAGAGTAGGTTCTTGTTTCAAATTTATTAATTCAGAACAGGGTTTGGTAAATGTTTTCTAATATCAATCTTGTGAAGTGGCAAAATAGATCTTTACATCATAATTTTAAACAGATAAAAATTATTTTAAAATCACCTATTTTCCTACAAATTTAGTCTAAATTAAAATAAATTCTAGAACAAGTTAGTTTTTGAATGTTAAACATTTTCTATTTAAAAGTTTTTATACATCATAATTTTAAATAAAAATTATTTTAAAATTGTATATTTTCCTACAAAGTTATTTTAGTCTATTAAAATAAATTCTACAACAACAATTAGTTTTTGATGCTAAACAATTTCTATTAAATAGTTATATTGCCCATTAAAACTAAACTTCTCAAGGTATGTATTAAGCAGAAGCTATAAAAATTTACAAGTTTTGAAACAATGTCTTCTTTTCAGAATACTAAAAAATATTAAATCAGGAGATAATTTTTTTTTTACGATAGAGCAATATTAAAGTCAGTAAGTTACAAATACAGAATTTAAAAACTGAAGTAAAATATTTTAATGGGAGAATATCTGCATGTGAATATGTCAATAGTTCGCTTTTTTTTCAGCTATTTAGTCCTTCTACCTTTATCTCAGAAACAAATTTAAAAATAGATTTGATGGCAAAATCATTCAGCACTTTACTTACTCCATCAGCAAGGTATTTATGTAGTCATTTCCATCCATATGGCCAAACTGAAAATCCCTAACCAACACCAACCAAAAATAAAGAAACAGAAAGCGAGGGGATGTGGAGAGAAAAAGAGAGAGCCCATTAAATACCAGAAAAGTAAATAAAACAATGAACTTAACTTTAGGCCTCAGTAAGCCCAGAAACTGTAAATATCTCACATGTAAATCATACACAATAAATACTGATAAGAGTGTAAATTCTACCAGCTTCCGAGACACAAATACACAAGTAAAGGAAATTCTAAAACATTTCTATTTTGTCTTTGCATGTTTAAAATCAGGGAAATACAAACTATTCTGCCTGAAATATGTTTAAGAAAAATTACTCATTTTCTCTAAAAAAAGGACTAATCAGATGTCATAGTATGTAAGAGGAGAACTATACAATGACTGATGAGTAGAAGATTCAGAATAGAAAAGAAATAATAGTTCAATAATAAAATACATTTATATTGACTGTCCTTTATGGTGGCAACAATGATTTAGCACAAAGCAAACTATGCATTTCTGATGCCAATTTTATATTCAGTTATTCTTCTGAGTTTCCATTACAATAAATCATCTGCCTACCTCTGACATCTGATTGCTCATTTAATTTTATATCCAGTTATAAGTACATGTGGATATTTTCTTTACATAAAATGCATCTCAAATCCTATCAGGAAGCAGGTATGATACAAATCAGTTTTTTTTTTTTTTTTAACTTGCAGGACATACCATCAATGAATTTAAAGATCCAGACAATTCATGCTGAAAAGCAACGTGCTATACAGTAGTCCCCCCTTACCCACAATTTCACTTTCTGTGGTTTCTGTTCCCCATGTGCAACTATGGTCAGGAAATATGAAATGAAAAATTCCAGAAATAAACATATACACAATTTTTATTACAGTGTACTGTTAAAATTGTTCTATTTTATTATTAATCACTGTTGTTGATCTCTTACTGTACCTAGTATATAAATTAAACTTTATCATAGGTATTTAGGTATAGACAAAAATCTAGTTTACATAGCATTCTATTCTATGCAAAGTTTCAGTCATCCACTAGGGGTGTTGGAATGTATCTCCTGTGGATAAGCAAGGATTACTGTTATTTAACTTCATTTCCTTGATTCACCTCTAAAAGCATGAAATACTACTAAGTTTGCTTTCCTATATTACAAAATGGTATTAAACAAAAATACAGGAATCTTTCAGAATGTAAGCACCTACCTGTGGAAGAGGTCTCTGTAATCTCTTGCAACTTCCTGAATAATTGACTTCAATCTGTAGAAGAAAAAACATATGATTAGTTCATCTATGCACTTGAAAAATACAATTTTTCTATTATAGTATCTGCTGTCTTACATCTATTTGCTGCAGGAAAAGTAAGATATATCAAGTCTATCTAAAGCCATGCAGTCTAAAATGAACATATGAAGCTTAAAACTAAATAAGGGCATTATACCTGGTATGTTCAACTGATGTATTTTTCTCATCAATAACTGCAATGGCCACAAGCTTTCCTGAAATAAAGAATGACACATCTGAATTCAATCACCCTTATTACACAAACTGTTCGATTATCACTATAGTTTTTAGTAGGAAACTAGTAAAGTATTTCTAGAATTTAATTCCAATCATTCTACATATTATATCAAATTAAATCAACACATTATGGTATATGTTTGTAGAGTGAATCAGTGAATTAGTCAACTCTAGGAGACAAATTCCCTTCCACTTCCCACCCCAAAATGTAAATAAGGGTAAATATGTAATAATTTATATACCTAAATTGTATTTTTTATGCCAACTTACAAGCTTGAATTGTACTTTTTCCTTACACCCTACAAATTGACTAAGGTAACTATTTTGTTAAAGGCTAAACGCATAGGAAATAAGTTGATTAAAAACAAGTTCACCAATAATTACTACAGCTCTAAAAAAATGGTCTAGAAGAACAAGAAAATGATTTTTACATGGCCATTGCCTTTGGTACCATGGATCACACTTGCCAGGTATAATATGCAGAATTAAACTGACTCACATTTACTAAAACCTAAACAGAACATAAAGCATATATATCCTGATACTCTCTAGGAAACCAGCATGATGTAATAACCAGAACAGTGGTGTTGGAATCAGAAAACCAAACACTGCTATACAGCAGTGTCTATCATGTTCTAGGCACCATACCCACCATACCAAGCCGCAGGGGCACAGGGAAATGCCTCAGTAAACCTCAACTAGTAAATATCTATTTCATAGAGTTATTGGAAGAGTTAAGATTAAATATGGGGATAAACCTGGCTCAGAGCAGGTATATACACGTAGGATTAAATCAACAATCTTTATTATCCCTGTATTTTAATGTCCCTTCTAATTCATACTTCTAAAACACCTGTCTTAAATTCTACACAATCTTGAATCTTCTTCTAACTCTCTGATGAAAACAGTTCACAATGTTATCTATCTTCTTGAAGTATCTCATTTACTATTCATTTTTTCTGTATTATATGCTTCTTTAATTTTCAAATGCCTCTTTTTTTTTTTTTCAAAATGTCTACAACATGCAGAGCATCCTCCCACAGACCAACAGGGTTCTAAGAAACACAGACACAGTTTCTCACATATTAATTTAACAATTATTGAGTGTCAAATGATGTATCACACAATGGGCTGGTTATGAGGACATGGTGATGAGCAAACAGAAAATGTTCTGCGCTTGTGAAAGCACAACACAGTAGAAATGCTGGGACATTTTCATCAAATCGTTAAAAATAAGAATACGCTGCTATAAAAAAATTACAGAGTAAATTAATATACTTTGAGGGAGTCAGTGAAGATTTTCCTAAGAAAGCAGTATTTGGTCTGAGTTTGACGGATGAATATGAATTAATTGCATATTTCCAAGCAAAGAAAAAAGCATGTAAAAAGGTGCTTTGGTCCAAACGGCATAACTTTTTCAAGAAACTGGTGTCAAGCAAACTTGGGTAAAAATCATAAAACAATAAAAAAATTAACAAAAGAAACTGAAAGGTTAGTGTGGCTCGAGAAGGAAGAATGCGGGAAGAGGCTAGAGTGAAGTAGGTCTGGAGATACAGGCAAGCATTAGAACTTCTGAGACAGACACGAGGTGTCTGAAGCCACAGAGCATCAGGGGGCTGCTGTGGTGCTAGCACAAGGGGACGGGCTGGGTGAAGAGCTAACAAGGGCAATTATGTCGGACACACAGAAGAACACTGTCACAGCATACTTCTGTTTCCAAATTAATCTGGGAAAGGAAGTATTGAGTTAAGCCAAAGCCACCTGTTTTAATCACCTCAAGGTCATGCTATCTCCTGGGATTACTATACAAAGCAAAACTACTGTATTCCTACATTTCCCCTTTTCTTTTCATGTGAGTCTGAAAGAATCAAAAAGTAAAACCACAGTCTTTGGCACTGTCCCTGATAACTTCCAATAATGAGCTAATATACAGCTCCTTCTGTAAAGATAAGCAAAGGCAGAAATATCAGCAGACACAGAACACTAAAAGCAAGCTCAGGAATAGAACAGAAAGCATCCCCCCAAAATGTTACAAACAGGGAACATGCAAAAATATTTCTAATTTTTATTAATTAGATTTAAGAGCAGTGATCATAAACAGGAAACTCTATGCCTATTACTTACATTAAAAAAATTGAGCCTTGAATTGTTTTAAATATACTTCCATCCTACTTGTCATAAAAGTTATTAATGGAAACAAATGTGGCACCAATAACCCTGATTTCTCATTTCTAATTTGCTATAAATTTAAAAAACACTTTCTCTAAAACTTAGCTTTTTAAAATTTTTGTAGTTTGCATCTACGAGACCATGTAAGTGACTTCTTATAGCTTTCATTTTTGCATTTGTGTTTATGCTTGCATTTCCTCTCATTTTCAACAGTATAACTTTAAGAAACCATGCCAATTCAATTTACATTGTTCCCTTTGACAAGTAAAAGCAGGCCTTATAAATAGGTTGCGCTAAGTTTCACTTTAACTCCTATTACAAAATCAGTCTCCCGAGTATAGCTTCTTAGTTGGTTATGTTTTCCAACTCTCTTATTACCCAGGCTTTTTGTTTTCCTTGTCACCAACAGACCTATTAGTAAACCATCTCTTTAGCACATCACTGACCCACATGCAAAGGTCTATCTTCGGGTAATATCAGTTTATGTTTTCATAAAGAACTGGCATTCAGGTCTAAAATAAAAAGTTATGAAATAGAGCTTAAATCCATTTCCTACAAAATAAGATTTTACATAATCAAAGAAAAATCATGTAACATGACAGACACTTGTACATACGCTTGTTACCTGTGTCTCCAAGTTCATACAAGAGGAAGCCATCCATAGCAAGGTAATTCTGAAACCTTTCCCTGTTGATCCATGATGACAGATCACCATCTTCATACTCTTATCACCAAGACAAAGTTGACAAATTACAGTATGAGTTTAAGACAGTTATAATAGCTTTAATCTGGTAAGAGGTATAAAATGCCTGACAGAGAATCATACTTTCATAAATATTATCTTTAGGAATTTATTGCAAGCATACAATCAAATATACAGAAGGATTGATGCACAAAGCAATCTTTATTACACCATCATTAAAAATAGCATAAAAACAATTAAAAATAAAGGAAATAACAAAAATATCCTAAATTGGAAATAATTTAAATACATTTTGGTATATGTTAAGATCATTTATAAATGTTTTAAAAAAGTATTAAACAGATTACAAAACAATATAGGTTACAAAACAATATATAACAGTCTAACTGTAACTTTGTAAAAAAAAAAAAAACTCTGAAAAGATAAACTCATAGAATGATAAAATGAAGTCAATTATTCCTAAATGGCTTCCCTGGATCAATGGTTATACTTGGGTTATGTCATTATAGGTAATTATTATTACAATTTCTTTGTCTTCTCTCTTTATGATAGTCTTTCTAGTTTATAACTCTTTCTCAAAGGTACAACTAACACAAACACACATATGAAACCACAATACGTTAGCTTTTTTCCAATATAAAATACTTGCTCTGCTAAGCAAATAGGAAATATAGAATCTAAGAGAAATATTACATCCTGATTAGAAATATAATTCTGAAGTAATTGTTAAAAAAGTTATTACAATTGCATAGAAAAGAAGCTGATGTAGAGTAAATGTCTGTAAAAGCCTACCAATACATCTGGTTAAAGACTGGGTTTTAATGACTTCCTGAAATGTATGCTTTTTCTTGCACTGCTAAACAAAACATTTTCAAGTTATCAAACCCATCAAATAAGTAATACAAGTATTTATGAATTTAAATTTATAAATTAGGAAAATAAGCATAAAACTAGAAATTGATTACTGGGCCACAAAGTCCACTTCATGTTAAAAGCAAATTTTCTACAAGATTGCACAAAGTGATCAATTTGAATTTCATTAGAAAATAAACTACCACAAATACTGCATGTTCTCATTATAAGTGGGAGTTAAACATTGGGTACACATGGACATGAAGTTGGGAACAACAGAAACTGGGGATGACCAGAAGGTGGGAACGGGGAGGAGGACAAGGGCTAAAAAACCACCTATTGGGTTCTATGCTCACTATCTGGTTAATGGGATCATTTGTACCCTAAACCTCAGCCTCATCCAATATACCCATGTTACAAACCTGCACATGTAGCCTCTGAATCTAAAATAAAAGCTTAAATTATATACATAAGAAAATATCTTCCTGAGTCCCTATTGCAATGCTTCTAAACATTAGCAACAATTAAATATTTAAAATAAGGATTCAGGTAAAGCCTTTACTTTGTCTGAATGCATCAGGCAGGTTCTAAATTCCACTGCAGGTTAGAAAAATGAGGCCTTTACAGTACCTACAGAAACCTACCATATTCCTGTCTTCCTCAGCGTGGGAGAACATATTTGAAACAAGATGGCGCTTTTCTAGGCATGCTCAAACACCTGATATCTGTTTATATTTAAATATCTATTTATTCTTAAACAGATATAATTAGTTTTTTTTAAAAGGAAGAAACAAAGTGGCTCTCTGAATTGCTAAGAAACTCGCAGTAGAAGAACATGAGATTTGAAGACTAAATTTTGCTATCATTGATTAAGTATTTTAACATGGAAAAAATTCTTTAATCCTGTGTATCTGTAAAATGATAAGAATACTGATCTTAAGACATTGTTACAATGATCAAATATAAGATCATGTACATTAAGTACATGAGGAGTACTGCAAGCAAAGAGCAGGTGAATAGACTGGGTGTAGCTATAAATTATTTTCCTTCTCATATTTTCATATATGCCAGTTTCTCTGAAGTTCCTTTTTAAGCCCAACATCTAATACAGACATTCACAAAACATCCAATTAAGCATATGATAAATCTGCTATTTAATTATACGTCTGTCTCCTTAGCTAACATTCTCAGCTATACCCTATGTAATCCTGGGGTATTAATCTGCCTTATTACTTACCTCACAGATTACTTTGTAAATAAAATGAAAATGTCAAGTTAAGGATATATATAGTACCTTTTGTATGACAGCATAATTGGATAGTTATTATCTATAGAAACAAATCAAATTTAGCTTTCACATTTATTAAAGACAATAAAGATTAGAAATGTAGTCTTAACATGACTGACAAAAGAATTAAAATGCTACTTATACTAAAACAAATTGTTACTTTTTTTGAAAAGTCTTCTATTTATTTGAATTATTTAAGCAATAATCTAATCTTAGTTTCCTTTCTGTCACATAGACTCCAATAAGAAAAATAACCATATTCTAGAATATATTTCTGCAATGAATGGATGTTCCATATCTGGCCTCCAACATGGTAACCACAAGCCACAGGAGCCCACCAAGCATTGAAATGTGGCTAGTGAGAATGGGAAACTGAATTTTTAATTTTACTGAATTAGAATTTAGAATGTTAGCAAGACTATCAGGTGAGACTGCATTCACTTTTGCTTTTGAATGGCTTTGTGGTGTCCTACAAATATCAATTCCACTGTTTCCCTTGAAATTTAAAATATTCCCAGCAGCCCCTGTGAGTTTGCTGCACCGCCCTGGGGTACTTCAGAGCACAGTTTGGTAACCATGTAAGTAGCTATTTGAAAATACCAAGGAATGCTGTTAGATGTTGTAGCTGCATGTGATTTATCTAAACATAAAAAGCCTACATTGTGTAAAGAGATGCATAACAAAGCACATAATGATGAAACACCACTACAATTTGCTATAAAGTACTTCAACAAATTGAAAGTTGAAGCTGGAGCAAATGTCAAGATGGGCAAAGAACTTGATAAGTGCTTAACTTTGGTGATGGGTATGCGGGGCTTTATTTAACATTCTGTTTACTATGATATATGTTTGATATCACAATTAAAATATTTTAAAAACAGACCAAGTATTTGATTCAATGAAGAAATGCTGAATAGCAGGTAAGCAAGCGGTTATTTCTAACAGCAAAGGGGAAATGCTGCTAGAGAGGGATATAAAGGGGCTTCAACACTATTGAACATGTGTTATTTCTTTAAGTCTTTTTCTGTATCTGAAATGTTACTTCAAAAACATTAATTTTGAACATTTTAAAGTAATGTGTAAATGCATAGAATTTATTCATCAAAAAAGGCATATAATTAAACAACAAAAAAAAAGTTGTGTAGGTAAAGCAGAATAAAATAACTAAAAACTTAAGTTGAAGGGTAGAAAAAAAACCCAAAACATCAGTCATTCAAGTAATGAGAACTGTTATTCTCATTAAAGAGTAGTAGCATTTACAAAATCTTTACACCTAAGTCATATAACAGACATTTTAATTTTAAATGTTTTACGAGTTAAAGATGTGGAACTTACCGTCGTAAACAAAGTAAGTTTCATCTTTGAAAACAAGCACAGCTGGCATCTCTTTTAGTGTCACATACTGCAAAAAAATCAGAAGTTTAAATAACTTTATCACCAAAAAATTTCAATGAGTAGCTATGATTTCAAAAGTCTTACATACCAGAAAACACAAACACACACAAAAATAAAAAAGAATGCTATAAACAGTCAATCCCAAACTCAACCAAGGAGTATATTTGAATCTTTTTATATACCCCCGGTACAATGTTCTGTTTGCTATAGTAAACACGGTGGATTATTCTTAGCTAATAACAGACTTAAACATCAACCAGCCCATTCAGGTTTGAGTCCTTCCCCACCACTCACTGGCTGTGTGGTAATGAACCCCTCTACCTAAGGGAGTATGCTTCCTTGTCTGTGGAATAAGGACAGTGAGACTGCCTATCTCACGGAACAATTATGAGAGTTATGTTAGATACTATAACTAAGAGCATTGCTTACAGTTTTGTAGCAATAAGGGATTCAATCAGAAAGTACCTTGCTTATACCTGAGTTATAATTATTTTGAAAGAGTAAAATTATACTAGAAAACAAATGTCAGATCAGAAGACAAATAATTTGAGTAAGCCACAAAGAATTATTACATGAGCAAGGGAATACTGAAAATAATGACAAATAAATAAGAGTAAAAATGAGTGGATAATGAAGTAAAATAACAATAAAATAAAAATAAAGACAGTTGTCCTGGAAAAATTAAAAAGGGAGGGGGGCACAACTCAGGGGAGAGAAAATAATACAGGAGGATTTAGTTACATTGCTATTAAAAAATGATATAGCACCATGAAATAACAGTTTTAAGGGCAGTGCAAGCTCTTAGATAAGGCTCTATACTCCATTCACCTGCTCTTGGTAACTCATCCACACAGATGCTTGGGAAGTATTTTTCAACATTCAGCACCTCCCTCTTTCACCAGTACCCCTGAAAGATCCTTACTAGAACTCAAATGATACAGTCTCAAATCTTCCAGCCATCTAGTCTCACATACTCTGAAGCGCTCTTCCTCTCCCATGTGTTTTATTCAACTGTCTTCTATTACTGTTATAGTCTGTATGCCAATCTTCTTTGTTTACCAATACTTCTTCATAAGTATTCTGAAGTCAGAAACTGTCGAAATTCATCCTTGTCCTCCCTTACTGTGTCTCCTGGGGTTTTCATAAATACCAGTTGTAAAGCTAATGAAGCTCTGAAGGACAAAACATTACTATTCAAAATATGGAAAGACCATAAAATTATGGGCTTTGTTCTTATCTGAGAATCATCTATGGCAGTAAAACTCCTCATATTATTCTGAAGTAACTATTATTTCCCCTAGCAGACTTTTGCAAATACATCCTCAGAACTAAAAAAGAGAGATGACAAGTATTAATATTTTCAGGAAGAATTAAAGAATGCTTAAATTAGTGAAAGGCTAATTAAAAAAAATAATAGAAGCAATACAGAAATACTAAATATACTCACATAATAGATGCTATATATGCCCACCCAGACCCTCTGGGTTCTAGGGATTTTGGCCTAAGACACCCCTTTGTTATATGAGGGTTAAGATGGTATCAGATGGTGCCAGGGCCTAGAACACAGAAAACCCTCTGGTGCACTTCAAGTGCCAACTGCTTACAAAGCTTTGTAGATGAGGGCCCAGCATAAATTCTCATCTCTAATATAAAAATGTGGTTCACTGGACTTGGGAGACAAATGTAAAAAGTTCAGATTCTAGTCCATTTTAAGCCATTATGTCACATTAAGGCATTCCAGAACAGTGGTTTGTAACCTTTTCCCTTTTTCCAGACGCTGGTTCTTGCCGTGTAAGTAGCTTGCAGTACATCTGGTCCAGCCGCAGCCTCACATAGAGTAGGTGCCTGGAGCTGCCTTTCCCACAGTAGCCAGCATGCCTGGCTGTGTGCAATGGTCAGATCCAGTGCTTGCTCACTCACATACCCCTTGCTGCTCCGTGCCTGGCTTGTCCTTGGCATACATGGGATCTAGGCTGGTAGCATGAGCCAAGTTCACCCCAATAGGCTGAGTGGGCAGAGCAAGCCCATGGGCATGAGCAAAACCCAAAGAGAGACACCGCCACCACAGAGGTTTCTTTCTGGTGAAGCAACACTCTAAGGATCTTGTAACATTACCTTCCCCTCCAAAAGTAAATGCATATGCATAAAATACTTTGCAAATCAAAATGAGTTTAAGTTGTCCAGAAACTAAGGTTCCTCCAGGAGTTAAAAATCATTTTGGAGTACCATAAGATAAACATCTACATATTTATTGCAGGAAGCATTAAACACATACTTAGGCAAGTCTGTAATCTGAAAATCTTTAAATATTAAAGCATTTAAAAGTAATGAAATGTTTGTTACCATTGTGAAAAGAAAAATATTTCCATTTTTTATAATTTACATTGATTCAAAAGAAAAATTCTCTTGATTTCTTTCATGTTTCCCGAGTTACTGACAAATTCCTGAAGTACCCTACTCATTAAACGTTTCCTAAAGACTACACTTGTGTTCTCCACTTTCTTACTTGCCACCAGTGTCTCTCAAACATCAATGAGATATTTGTCCCCATTACAACCCTGAAAACCACCACTAACCTCCATGTGGACACATATTGTGGCTATTTTCCTCTCATTATTTCCTTGATCACTTTGCAAAATTCTCACACAACTGTTCACTCCTTTTTAAAACACTTCATCTTGGCTCTCCACTCATCTTATTTTCCTAATTTACTATTTTTTTCCTTTGCTGACCTCAGGTTCTGGGCCCACTTACTTCCTTAAAAAACTGCTTCCCAAGTCTAGGAAGGTTCTTTACACAGCTTTGACTTAACTCTAGACCCCCATGTCCAATTGCTTATTTGATGCTTATATTTAGATTCCTAATATCATATGCTGAATCAAATTAAAATGAATAATTCAATGCACTTGTCTCTCCATATTTTCAACCTCTTCCTTCTTCAGTATTCCTCAAGATCATAAATCACCACCATCTACCCAACTGTTCAAACCAAAACATCTCAGTCACCCTCGATTCATTCCTATTCTTTCATATCAGCAAGCGCTAACAATTCTATCTTGTAAAAGCAACAACCCTTTCACTTCTCCCCAACTCTAACTAACTCTCAAGCCCAAATTTCTTAGATTACTTCAAAAGTTCAATTGGTATCTATGGATCTATTATGAGACCTATCTAACGCACTCTGCATTTAGCACAGAGTAATGTTCTTAAACATCAGTCCATGTTCTTCACCAACTTCAACCTCATCCCATGCACTGTCATGGCTTACAAAGCCTACAGTGCTCTCTACCCACTTCCAATCGCACTGTATACACTACAGTCACATTGGCCTGCTCTTTTATTCCTGTATTATGCCAGGTGTGTTCTCATCTTGAACCTTCATATTATTTGTTTCTTGTTTCTGGTGTATTCTATCCACAGATAGAATATGGCTCCTTCACATTATGTAAAACTCTCAGTTCAAGTATTTTCTTCTGAGACAAACATTTCTTGGCCAATCAACCTACAGCACCCATCCGCTCCTATTTGCCCCAACTATCACACTGCTTTTTTTATAGCACTTATGACATCCTGTTTATCGATTTGTTTACGGAAGACCATTATCTCAGTGTTGAGGACCCAAAAAAGACTGTATCTGCAACACACACACACACACACACACAAATCTACTACTTGTAAGCCAGTTTAGGAGTTTGAGGTATCACTTGTCATCACTACTATTATTTTAAAAAGAAAGAAGTACAGTACTAATGTAAACCCCTAAAGGCTATGAATCTGATGGTATTTGTTTACTAATAAAAAGCAATCTAATACCAGTAGTAAAGAATCAGCATGTTTACTCTTTCCACACATATCACAGTAAATAAATCTAATATTAAAATCAATAATTCAATCAATAATCACAATTTTATTTATTAAATCAAGTTATAATTTAATAAATAAAACTGTGTCATTAAAATCAAATTTTAAACATTACCTCAGGAACCACTTCTTCTGAGGCAGAAAAGAAGTATGTATATACAATCAATTCAGAAGCAGCATCTATGTATTTCTCCTATGAAGATAAAAACAGAAAAAAGGTCATTTAAAAATATTAATTAAAGGTCAAAATTCATTCCTCATGAAACAGTGAGAGTTACCTTATGCAGTAAGTATCATCACCATAATTTGCTACCTTACATCCCTTTAGGTGAAAAGAAAAAATATAAGCAAATAAAATTGTTTCCAGGCAAAAGGCAAATGTAATTAATAGCTTTTATCTTTCTTCAAATCAAGTTCATTAAATATAACACAAGTTCAATTCGTATGTATTCATTTAATCACAAATTAGACAAACAAAATGATGATGATTATAGGAAAATATGAGTATATGCACACATACAAAGTCTGCAGTCTCAAAGACTCAGAATTTGAAAAAGCAACACAAGATTTAAATAACCAAGTTAATGATAGAAAAAAATATTAAGTCAGGCAACATCTGCTCACTTTTTACACAATTCTGTTTCATATAGGCAAACACGACAGAGGATATACAAGGAAGGGTTTCTATTATAAGACATACTTAGACTCAAAAGGAAAATAGTTCTAGTAAGAGCAGTATAAGTTCTGAGTTTCTGGTGAAATCTTGATTATACAGCAAATTAAATTACAATAGGATTAAAAAAATAAATGTCTTACTTTCAAAGGTGATTCTCCACCTATATAAACAAAAAATACACGATGTCTCTTTTGCATATGCTCAAACATTTGCTGACTTGGAAGTGGCCGAATTAGAGCCCTGTTGCACAACGAAAGAAAAAAACAAACTTACATTATAAACTAAAGTACATAATTTATTCTTATTTATACTATAACTAATCATGTCTGAAGTTACGAATTTTTTTTTTCAGACAGAGTTTGCTCTTGTTGCTCGTGCTGGCATACAATGGTGCGACCTTGGCTCACTGCAACCTCTGTCCCCTGGGTTCAAGCAATTCTCCTGCCTCAGCCTCCCAAGTAGTTGGGATTACAGTCATACACCACCACAACTGGCTAATTTTTGTATTTTTAGTAGAAATGGGGTTTCTACATGTTAGTCAGGCTGGTCTCGAACTCCCTACTTTAAGTGATCTGCCCGCCTCGGCCCCCCAGAGTGCTGGGTTTACAGGTGTGAGCCACCGCATCGGCCAAGTTATTAAGTTTTAATAATACATCAACTCCATTTTAAGTATCTCAAAATCCACAAAAATCTAATAAAACTATGGTCTATGACTACTACTGTACATACATATAAAAGATTATAGTACCCACAATTTAATCTGTCAGTTTCAAAGTAAGTGTCAAAACATTCCTTTGTAGAGTACCATGCCAGTATTTTGATGGACAAAAACAGAACTACTGTCCATTTAGAATCTTCAGTTTAAAAAAAAAAATCAATTCCCAAGAGAATTATTTTTTCTTCCTTTCAAATGATCATTTACCAAAACACTGTGAAACATCAGACAAGGAATATAGAGTACTTCATTAAGAATATTTATATCTTACTCCGTCAAACTAAATGCTATATGCTTTTAAAGTACCCTATGGAGGTTAAAATCCAAAAAATATAAAAAGAATATCATTAATCATTTCCAGAAAAAATAAAATGGAAAATGACAGTCCTAACACTACATAAGAACCTCATGAAGAGAAAACAAAAAATTTCATCATACAAGCATTTTTCAAAGCAAATACATCAAGAAATGAATGACATCACAAGTTATGAAGCACATCAATTATAAAATATCATTAAAAAACTAAGAAGTTCATTTTATATAGTATATACACCATCTTTTACATATGGTGTGTAGATTATATAATTTTTACTCCACCACATTTGTGAAAAGAATAGAACATAGCTAGAAAGGCAAATATATTTTCAAAATTCACCACATACTTGGAAAGGCAAATATATTTTCAAAATTCTTATGATGCATTGCATCAGCGCTCTACTCTAGCCTCTATTTTAATACTTAGTAATTAACTTGTAAGTGATGCAACTCCAGAACTCACTGCTGAAATATCATCTGCAATAGTTATCTCCAATTACATTAGGAGAATCCCTTCTTAAGCCGAAACTCACTAAAAATTTCCCAAATATAATGAATAATATAAATCCTGGGAGGATATGGTACCTCCAGCTAGCACTCCCCTCATACAACATAAAGTTATTTCAAAATGCACTTAATTACAAAGGAAATAAAATGAAACACAGTCAATGTGAAAATTATATTAGTAAGCACTGCAAACTTCAATATATAAAGATCATCCTAATGCTGTGAATTTTCTCAAATTATTTGAGACAGTATTGTGCCACCAAAAAATCCAATCCATTTTAATTTATCTTAAAGCTATTTAGAGCTATCAGTATACTATATCGTGTTAAACTCATAGGTTTGTATACTTTGAGGCCAATAAAGATTAACACAGCTTGATGAACATTCTCTTCAAGAAATTTTACATAATCATATTAAAGAATTATAAGCACTGACTTTCTTTATATCCCATCAAAATGCAGTAGTGGCCAAGATGGTTGAAACCCCATCTCTATCAAAAGTACAAAAATTAGCCGGGCAGGGTATCGGGCACCTGCAATCCCAGCTACTTGGGAGGCTGAGGCAGGAGAGTTGCTTGAACCCAGAAGTCAGAGGTTGCAATGATCTGAGATTGTGCCACTGCACTGTAGCCTAGGTGACAGAGAAAGAGCAAGACTCCTTCTCAAAAAAAAAAAAAAAAAAATTCAAACCAACAAGAAATGCTTGTAGAGGAATTTGCTTCCTTATCAGTAAAACCTTAGAGATAAGTAACTTAAATAGATTTTTGGGTTTTAACTACGTCACATTCTAAGTATAAAATGCACGAATATCTCACAGTTGGCAGAAAGCAGCAGGTGGTAAATAAGAAAAAATATTTTAGCCGTATCTAAAATACATTTTCCAGTATCAAAGACCACGGATGAAACCCCGAGTCTGTTCAGAACAATAATATCCCAAGGCTTTGTTGAAAACTCTGAACCAGGCAGTCCAAAAGCAAAATTATCATAAAATAAATGTTAAGATTCACAGAGTTGCTATACATAATCAAAATTTCAAAAATGTATTAAAAAAATCACTGGGGAAAATTCTTATATAGACAAAATAAATTTAAATGTGAGGTTAACAAGTATATAATACAAACCATGGTGTCCGTTTCTTTAAAGCATTTCTTTGGATATGCTGTTTAATCCTACCTTATAAATAAATAATCAAATTTTACTCAGGTATGTCCTTAAAATATGTGTGTTCAATACAGTCTATTAAAATATATTTAATTTTTAAATATTAATAACATATAGTAAAGGCCTTTCCTAATAACTTACCCAGATACCCTGTGAGCAAACTCAATAATATCATCTTTTGTTCGTGGTCCTCTGTAATTATATGCCAAGTCCCCTTTCAATCTTAAAAAGGAAAAACAAAATCAGATTACTCTTGGATTGTTTTAATTGTTTTAATATTTAATGTTAATCATCATCTATTGTTTCATAAAATAATAGTACATAAAACAGTAAATGCAAAGAAGTTTTAGAATTAGCTCTCATATAAAATATGATAGGCATTAGGCTGGTCAGAGGACCGGCAACACAAAATTTAAAAAAAGCCTATATTCTATTAAAATTACATGAATATATTTTACTCTGTATTTGATAACTGCATTGTATCTATGCTTCTGAAAAGTAATCTACACATTCATGGTCAAGAGCTTAGAAAATTAAAGCACTATAATTTTCGCTGTCTTCCCTGTCAAAAGGTGAATGAAAGGAGAGCGAAATAAAAGTATTTTGGTAGAGGCAAAACCAATGTTAAGCAATACAACATCACACTTACTTGATGCGCCAACATCAAAGAGTAAAACAATCCATAAAAACAGCTCTTCTAGCCGGGCACGGTGGCTCAAGCCTGTAATCCCAGCACTTGGGGAGGCCGAGGCGGGTGGATCACGAGGTCAAGAGATCAAGACCATCCTGGTCACCATGGTGAAACCCCGTCTCTACTAAAAATACAAGAAATTAGCTGGGCATGGTGTCGCACGCCTGTAAGCCCAGCTACTCGCAAAGCTGAGGCAGGAGAATTGCCTGAGCCCAGGAGGCGGAGGTTGTGGTGAGCCGAGATCGCGCCATTGCACTCCAGCCTGGGTAACAAGAGCGAAACTCCGTCTCAAAAAAAAAAAAAAAAAAAAAAAAAAAAAAACAGCTCTTCTAGAAAATTACATGATTCTTCAAAAGCAACCAATGAATTAATCTGTGTGCCTAATTAATTGAAATTTTAAAAAGGACAAATTGGGAAGTATAACAGAATACCTACAATTAAACTGAAGGAAAATAAAGGATGATTTGCTTAACACAAAAAGTAAAAGAGGCTAAGCAAACACTTTTACAAAGTGGGGGAAGGAGGAAGGTCAACACAAAACCCAAGATATAAACTGAAATTACTCAAATTCAAAAAGTTGAGATGTGAAAATACTTTTTTAAACTTACTTTATTATAAAAATAACTTTCAAAACAATTCCACAGCTCCCCACATTACCGAAATAAGATTAATAAAAATCATGAGAAAATTCAATGAAGTCATGATTATAAAACAAGTCCTTTAGAATTATCATGCCATTTCTTTCAACTTGTACACTTTATTAGACTTGATCAACACCTACAGATTAATATCCATCAACTTTGATTTTTCCTATTTCTTTTATCTCTCAATCCACACTTGAACTCCTCAAGGGTAAAAGACTTCATAATTTATGACTGTATACCTTGTCCTGCATAGTGCGTGTCACACAGCAGGCAAAACACATGAATTAGCTGTAAACAACATGATTATTTAATATGAAGAAAAGCATAAAGATGCAGTCCCTCTCCTTCAATTACATACTTCACCTATAAAGAATGGTCAAACCCAAATCTTCAGTCCTCCAAGGAACCTACTAGATATTAATGCAATAAAATGTAAGTAGAGTGAACTAATAAAAATACACATATAAACATACAACACTCAACTTACAGCTTAATTGTTGGATAACCTCGAACTCCAAACTCTGAAGCAATGCCTTGATAAGAAAAAGAATAAAGCATTCTAAATTTTTTTTTTAAATATGAGAAACTAGGTAACAAATGAGCCTTTTACTTTAAAAATATAAAGATATTTATACAACCCATATAGATTTGTTTTTAAGTCTTAAGAATATAAACTTACACAAAAGAAAAAAAAACACGACATTCTCGTTCAAAATAATTACTTAATAATCCAATCTGTGACCTGCATAAAATACTATGACAAAATTAAGAAATGCATGTCAAAAGAATAGTTGAAAATTTGTAAAGTACCTGTTTAAAAAGATATTCTGGTAAAGAAAAATAAGTAAATACTTCTCATCTGACTCATGTCTAAGACAAATATTTCTTCTATGTCTCATTTACTCCTCTCTCAAAAAAAAAAAAAAAAAAAAGGCCCATCTCTTCCTTCAGTGTTTTTTTTTTTTTTATTTTTTTTTTTAACTGCTGCGGGCAAGGCCTGTGGACCCCACCCTGCACCCTCACAGGGGGCAGGGTGGGGTGAGATGCGGGGAGGAGGGGGCCTTCAGTGTTTTTTGAGTCTTCAAAGAACTGCAGTGTATTCTAATCTAAAAAAAAAAAAACAAAAACAAAACTTGTATTTGCAAAATTAATTACTATGTTCAATATACGATTGAAAAGCAACTTTAATTCCTTCAGGAGTTTCTGCTTTTGTGATAACCTAGAGTAATTTTAATCACCTCAAAGATTATTCTGAAATCCTCACATTAATTAAAATGAGAATGGTTGCTACAATAGCATCTTTTGAGGGAAAAGAATACTAACAAAAACAAGCAAATATCAGAAGGGAAATAAGACTTTAAAAAGTAGAGAAATCATATATCAAATTAATGCAACACTATTTTACAGACAAAAGGCCACTAGGACAGGAAAGAAGAAATAAAAGATTCTCAGCTAACACACATTATACCATAAAAGATATTTACCAAACCATATGCTAACAGATGAAAAGTACACTGTATTATTCCCATGATCCTTCCCTTCGTAATTTCCTTTGTTTCCAGGATATTTTTTTATCACAGTTGGGTAAGGAAACCTTACATCTGGATTCCAGTTTAACAATCACTTTAGTAATCTTCACTAATCTTTGGTTTCTCATCAACTCAACAATTCAGTTCACAAGAATAAGGGCAGTCGATCTGTGACAAAATAATGTCTAAAATTTTATCTTCCTTTGTCAAGTCTAGTTTCTCCCTTAAACATACGGAGATAGGCAGATAGAGGGACCTGGACAGTGGACCACATGTATTTTCCTTAAGATGCAGCATAAAAGCAGAGGTAATAATTAAGAACTCAAGTTCTGAAGATCAGGTCCTGCTTCTCAACAGACACTCGAACTCAGAGCAAGCACATAATTTATTTGTGCCCATCTGTAATGTAGGACTTAGTTCTGTCAAGTATGTTCTAATTGAAGACTGTGGGAATGGAGATTGCCTTCTTCCCAGCAAAAACACAGAAACTACTTTGGTGAGATTATGTGAATAATGCCTACTTTTAATGCTCCATTTTCATATTAAGAAGACAAGGAAATACTCTCCCAAATTAAGAAGACAGGGAAATAAAAGCCCTTCAACTAAAACTTATTTTAAAAACTGCTAAAACATAAATTCTAATATAATTGATTGGGGGACAAAGTTATATTCTACTAGTAATCCCTTTATATCACTTAAATTATCTCAACATTTATTTCTATACAAATCAAGTATAGAAAATGAAGCATGCAATTAATGAGAAAACACACTGTGGTGCTGCAGACTCATATTGTAGATCTCATAGTCAGTCCCAGAGACAGAAACCCCAGCTCCACACTCAACCCTATCACATCATTTCCTTGACCTGGGTATTCACATCCAGACAGTGTGATGTGTTACCCAACCCACAGGCCTTGGCTTCTTGTTCATTAACATTAACCTTCACTTCTGACAAAATTTTAATTGATAGTAACTTCTATAAAACTCCAACCTTAGATTTCCTTAAAGGGGAATGGTGGTATAACATTTTTAAAAAAAGCAAACAAAGCGGGGGTTATAAACACATAATGACCCCATTATGTGGGGACATTATAAAGTTGGTTAGGATTCTAACTTCATTTATCGTCTATGTAACCCTGGATGCTTTTTTTAACTTCTCTGATTCCCCTTCAGAGAATACTACTCATCTCGCAGGGCTACAGATTGGGATTTTAAAATGAGAAAACAGAAGGAATAGAATCTGAGTCTGGCACATAGAAGATTCTTAAATGCTAGATCCTTTTCCTTCCTACTCTTGATCCTGATTTCATTAAGTAATTATCTGCTGACACCTCAATGCACACACAGTATTAATAAAATTGATATAAATATTTTATAACTGGCCTTATATTTCTAAATTGCACCTCAACACAATTATATGAGGAGGAAAAAATCATGCCAATTCAGATTAAGAAACTAGAGGCCAGGCGTGGTGGCTCACGCTGTAATCCCAGCACTTTGGGAGGCCAAGGCAGGCAGATCACCTCAAGTCAGGAGCTTGAGACCAGCTTGATCAACATGGAGACACTCCATCTCTACTAAAAATACAAAAATTAACCAGGCATGGTGGTGCATGCCTATAATCCCAGCTACTAGAAAGGCTGAGGCAGGAGAATCGCTTAAACCCAGGAGGCAGAGGTTGCGGTGAGCCAAGATCACGCCATTGCACTCCAGCCTAGGAAACAACAGCGAAACTCTGTTTTGAAAAAAATAAATAAATAAAAAGAAACTAAAATAGATTCCAGTAACTTGTTTGAGAGCAATTCTGTGAGGAAGAAAAAATAGAGCTAATTCAGATTAAGAAACTAAAATAGAAAGATTCAGTAACTTGTTTGAGAGCAACCACTGATTAGGTAGCCAGGCTGAGACTGAAACATGGTCCAACTGATTTTAAGTTTTTTATTCTTTTTCATATTAGAGAATAATAGTTTACATAGAAACATGAGATCAATTCCTTCATAAATTGAAAAGTCCATTTGCAACAAGAGTTACATCTTTGAAGTTTTATGATTTTAAATGTTTATAAAACAAGATTCAACATGAAGTCTTCTACTTCATTTCTATTTTCTCCTTGAAATGTAACAGTTTGTTCGTAGAGATAGGTATGGATGTGAAAATCATGGTGAACTTGGATTCTAGGCCTAATTCTAACTTTGGTATGTGAAATTAGTCATTTCACTTTTAGTTACCTTCTGTTACTTGATCTATAAAAGGGAAAGGGTGAAAGGAATGAGGAGTTACTCAACCTCAAAAGTCCTTTTCAGCTCAAAGATACTACCTGTTTTGTATTTACTGAATGTCACTATGTGTCTAACACGAAAAGGATATAAAATTGGCAGTGGTTTACTATCAACTCGAGATATTCTGTTTGACAAAAACAGTGAGTAAGCAGGTAGGAAGGGGTTGGGAAAGAACGCAACTAATATCTAGTGGGTAGAGGTCAGGGGTTCTCCCAAACATCCTGCAATTCACAGGATTCCTCCTCCCATCCAACCCCCAACAAAAGCCCCACAGAATTATCTGGTCCAAAATGTCAATAGTGCAAGGCTGATAAACCTTGAAACATAGTCATTGACTTCCCCTGCATCAAAAGCAAACAAACAGAAAACCCCACAGAACTATCCAGCTCGAAAATGTCAATACTGCAAAGTTGAGAAGCCCTGAAACAGCCACTGACCAAAAAGAGTTTATAATCTAGAAAGGTAAAACTAATTTGTAACTACAATCTATGAACAAGATGTCAGAATGTTATTGGCCAAATGCCATTCCAAGTTTACACATTAAAGAGAGCTAAAATGTGATCTTTATCATAAAACGGTGTCACACTTAGGTTGGAGAGTAACAGAATTTCAGTGGTTCCATAATAAAGAACAGCATGCCACTACAGGTGATACTATATCGTATTTTAACTTCCAAATGAGAAATATTTTTCGTACTCATTTTGAAGAGGTATGTACAAAAAGAGAAGCTAAAACACGTATCTGGATTTACACAGGACATAACATTTTTATATTATTTGGTTATGGTATTATTAGTAAAAACTATGCATCAAGATATTTTTGGTAGAATTTCAAACACAGAGCAGACCAAGTCATAATTCTCAAATTTCTCTAATCCAAACATTCTGTACACAGAGATTTGCTGGACTGAGTCGGATGGTATTTGCTTCCAGTCACTGCAATGATTTAATACATGTTTGAGATATGAGTTAATATCAAAGACTCTTAGAGATTTTATAAACTTGATCACTTGGAATAATCTTATCCCACCTCAACCAAAATCCTGTAACTATCTACCAAAATAACATTCTACACTTTGTTGTTCTCCAACCTCAGTGTGCAGTAGAATCATCTAAAGTGCAGTTAAAAATATGGACTTTTGGCCAGGCACAGTGGCTCATGGTAATCCCAGCACTCTGGGAGGCTGAGGTGGGCGGATCACCTGAGGTTAGGAGTTTGAGACCAGCCTGGCTAACATGGTGAAACCCCATTCCTACTAAAAATACAAAAAATTAGTCGAGCGTGATGGCGCATGCTTATAACTCCAGCTACTAGGGAGGCTGAGGCAGGAGAATCACTTGAACCTGGGAGGCAGAGGTTGCAGTGAGCCAAGACCATACTGCCATTGTACTCCAGCCTGGACAAGAGCGAAACTCCGTCTCAATACATACACACATACATACTCTCAAGATCTGATTGCAAAGGTTTTCACTTGGTAGGACTGGTGTGGGCCTTTGAAATCTGAACTGACAGTGAGTACCCAGGTAATTCTATTGCAGGTAGTCTACAGATTACATGCTAAGGAACACTGATACCGTGACTGTCTGAAAAACAACCTACTGGGATGGAAGAGGTACCTATGTAATAGCCAATACTTTAGTGTTCTACAGGTAGACCTAGAATATCAATGGCAGATGACTTGAAAAAAGTTCCATTTCTTTACCTGTTTGATTCCAAGTTCTACAAAAATATCTGTATTTGAGCTGCCTTGAAAACTTTAAGAAAACTTTGAGATTCACAAGGCAAAAATCTGTTTGTAATAGATGAACAGTGACTTCTGAATAACTAACTTCCTTTAATACCAGGAAGATACTATATTTCTCCACTGCATATAAAACATTCCCTTGGTGCTAATATTTAAGTAAATAATGTATCCAACACTGATATTTAACTCTAATAATGGTCTAAAAATAACATTAGACAACTGACTTATGTTTACAGGTCACTGTTTGTCTCTTCCTACAAAAATGTAAGTTCCATAACACAGAAACTTTTGTTTTGCTCAATGATGTATCACCACAATCTAGTATGTGCCAGGCATATCCTAACATGGTAAGCACATTAAGTATCTGCTAAATCAATGAATGCTAACTCTACAACTTTTCTACAAAGGAATTTTTTTTTCAATAAACTATGTTTAATTGATAGGATAATTCAAATAGCATTTACAAACAAGCCCCACCATGCAAGGTGCAAGTAGTTTTGAGAGGAGGCGGAAAGAGATTTAGTACTCCATATCCAATGAGTAAACGTTGCAACCTGTATATGAAGTCTTATTACTACTTTTTAACAACAGCATTTAAAACACTTTCTTCTCTAAGTAACTCAGGAAAAGTATCTTTGCTATGTTTCCACTAATCATAGTGCCAATTAATAAATAGTAGCACAAAGGGGCACTTAATACTGAATAAACTAATGAAATAGATATAATATGGAATTTGACAATGTAAATTGTTAATTATCACTGAAGTGTTACATGAACAGTTTACCACAAAGACTTTATTGGTTTATATGCACTATTTTTCTCATTGACTATTTTTCTTCATATTCCCACATTCCTTTATACATGACTCTATGACTCCAGTGACCTATTCAAGTGATCACATAATTTGCCATTTTTAAGACTTTACTGCTCTTTTTGGTTTATTCATCTTTCTCCCTCTATTAGGCTGTAAGCATTTCCAGGATAAGCAGGATTTGTCTGGGTCTTTCTTTATCTCTAGAGATTAGCACAGGCTTGACAAATAGTATTGGTAAATACTGACTGATCGAATAAATCAATAAATGCATCTACGAATAAATATGTGTATGCATGTATAATCAAAACATAAATCAGGAAGAAATTACTTTCATGAGCAATAGTGGAAAACGGTAACTTCTTAGACATTGTTAAATGCTTATTTCAAAGAAATATCAACTTGAACATGGTAATTCTCCGTCTCTATAACAATTTCTGCCATTTATCTATTGTCTTCTCAAATGTTAACGTTTCACTTGTGTGACTCAATAATTTCAACACTAACATCTCACCTACCCTGTAGGTCCCTATTCACAAACATCAGTTAAAAGACCACAAATTCAAAATCATTGGTAACTTAGAAATGCACACAAAATTTAAACGATTATTTTCCACATTACCAGTAGTAGCATAGCTCAGCAACTATACTAAGAATCTTACACTATTCCTTTTGTTTTCTTTACAGTACAAAGCCAATCTATGACTTCTGTGATTTTCGCATGGACCATGTCTATAAAATTATCGTTTCCATCGCATGCTACTGTCACCACTCACAACGCGAGGCTCCAGCATCCAACACCTGGATACATACACAAAGCTGACTTAGATGATCTCCTGTTTCTATGCACTCTTTAGTTTCCATCCTATAAGCTGCTGCCAAAAATATTTTTATCAAGTCATTGCGCTCACAAAAATGTGTATTACCTCCTACTGACAAGTGATAAAATCCAAAACACTACCTGACCTGGGAAGCCCTTAAAATCTGGCATCATCCTTTAGTGGCATATATGTGCAGCCATTGTACCGGGGAGTTTTAAATAGATGATATTAATATGATTTCCATAACCGTGAGGATTATCACTCTCCTTTGTTGATACAGAAACTAAAACTAAGAGCAGTTAAGTGCTTCCCAAAGCTACAAAAGTAGGACATGGCAAAGCTGAGATTAAAACACAGGTCTTGCTCCAAAGAATAAGGCTGACGTCCTAAAAAGAAATACGCATTACACACTTCCACTTCCTTCACTAATGAAAGAGAAACTACATGTATTTAATACAGAAGATTTTATATGTGCTTTATCATTCAAACCTCAAAACCCCCAATAAAAGAAGCATTAGAATTAAAAATTTATCAATATGGAAACCAAAGCTTAGGCTTGTTCAGAAACTTTCTCAGTGTTACACAACAAAAGCAGCAGGCAGAGCCAGGATTTGACTCCAAGTCTGCTTTCTGAAAGCCACTCTTTCCCAAATACTAAAATACCTTATACTTCTCTAAATTTCACTTCTTTTCCCAAACCCTTTAAGACAGGTGTTGGTGTAAAAAGTCAGATAAATATTTTAGGCTTTCTGGGGCATATGGCTTCGGGTCACAAGTACTGAATTCTGCCACGGGGGCCTGAAAACAACCATGAACACAGATAACAAACGAGTGTGGCTATGTTCCAATATAATTCTATTTACAAACATGGGTAGGAGGAGAAATTCGGCCTACAGACCAAGGTTTGCTCACCTCCACTTCATTCTATTCTCTAGTACACACTCATTAGCCTCTTTTACACTCTATTATTATTTTGCTCTAGTATTCTTTCTAATGTGAAAACCTTCCTGATCCTCACTTGTATTTATCCTAACTCAATTCATCCTTCAAGTTCCCATTTTTTCTCTACCATAGCACATCTCAGGTTACTCGGAAAACAAACTCTCATTCTGAACTCAAGTAGCAATATCAATAGTTTGACACTCAATTTCTATAGCTGCCTCATGTAAGCAGATTATTTAAAGTAGGCTCAAAGGAGAAAAGATGGCTTTAACATCGGTTAAGCATAAGATTAACATATACTACATACTACATGTTCAATGGCTAATTCATTTAACTCATAAAGTATACAGTCTTAAATTATTAAGATAACTGAATTTTATATGATCAAAAAGGTCTTCCTCCCATCCTGAATACTGCTACATATAATTATTTTTGCTATGAGAACAGTAAAATAATATATTAAGTGAAGGCTTACTAGAATAGGAAGTAGCATCCATCTTTCCAACCTTAACTGGAGAACCAATGCTTTTCATCTCAAGACCAACTTCATTCCAAATTGGTTCCAGCTTTTTACAATGACCACACCACGGTGCATAAAACTTGTTTTAGAAAACAAAAAACAAACAAAAAAGATAACCATTAAAATGTTGTGCTACAGTGAGAATCAAAGAATGTCTTTGACTAAATGATCTAATAATGTTTTAGACAAGAAGTTTAAATATAATTTTTAAAGTAAATACATAATGAAAGATCAAAACATACATAAACGTAGATATCTCAAAACTGGTACTCTCTTAAGTTCATTTTAATTGACTACTGATACTTATTTAAAGTAGATATACCATTTACAATAAAAATGCCCTAGCTTCCAAGTAAATGTTCTATATAAAATGTTTTATGTAAAATGAATCCCCAAAATAAACATATACATACCATATCACATACACACCTAATTGTTAATGATAAATATCAATCTACTTATATTATAAAAATTCCAGCATAGTAGGTAGCTTTGCTGACTTCTATGGTAACCACTGGCAAAACTGGGGAGGTAGTTAAGATGACTGGTTTGGCACAGAAGCAAGTCAGGTTGATTAAACTAAAGTTACAGTCTTTTACCCTTCTTGAATTACCAGATGGTGGGGTTGATACTCAGGTTTCCCTAGTTACAAGTGGTTTTACAAACTGCTTGTTATCTTCTCATGAAACAAGATTTTTTAACTTTAAACTATGAAAATGTTCAAACATATACAAAAGGAGAAAGAATTAAATAGTGTACCCTCATGATCTGTCATCTAGCTTCAGTAACTGTCAACTCTGCCATTCTTTTTCTATCTCTTTTGCTGCTATTCTACTTTTTGTTGAGGCATGTTAAAACAGCAACTATCATAAGGTTTAAATATATTCCAAACTTGAAAGAAAGGAAGATGAAAATTTAATTTTGTCCACTGTTAAGATAAAAATATGATTCTGGCCGGGCGCAGTGGCTCACGCCTGTAATCCCAGCACTTTGGGAGGCCGAGGCGGGTGGATCACGAGGTCAAGAGATCGAGACCATCCTGGCCATGGTGAAACCCCGTCTCTACTAAAAATACAAAAATTAGCTGGGCGTGGTGGCACGCGCCTGTGGTCCCAGCTACTCGGGAGGCTGAGGCAGAAGAATCGCTTGAACCCAGGCAGAGGTTGCAGTGAGCCGAGATTGCACCACTGCACTCCAGCCTGGCAACAGAGTAAGACTCCATCTCAAAAAAAAAAAAAAAATTATTCTAAGTGATATTAATATATTCTAGCTCTTGGAAACTATCAAGAAAACAAGAGTGAATTCTGTAATAAAATCATATCCTTTATCACTAAGGTATAATTTAAAAGTTGACCTAATTATAAGATAGGGTTCCAGCTTTTCCTCTTAACGTCCTCAGCCCCAAATTTCATCAAAAATAGAGGGAACCTTAAAACTCTGAGGTTCTTTTTAACGTAAAGTCCCAAATATAATCATACCTAAAAAAACAAATTGAATATATACATAAGCACTAGCTGTATACTGCTGTCTTTGGGTAGAGGAAAATAGAAAATAACACTTAAAATGGTAGGAGTGGGTAACTAGCATATAAAATTTACATCCTTACATCTACAAGCCAAATGTCATCATTTCGATTTTCTTTAAACCTGAAAAACAAGAAAACAAATCATTGCATGTTTGTGTCCACTTTATAACTGTATAGTATAGGCAGAGATAATACATTGATAAATATAAGGGCAAAAACCAAATTCCTTCAATAAATTTTTATATAAAATTTGTACTCAGTGACCTATCCATCAAACATCTCAAAAATAAAAGCAGAGAACTGATCAATAATAAAGTAATTAGAAGGAAAGACTCCAACAAAAAGAATTAAAGCAGGACTTGGTAGAAACACAAATAGATGTCTAAGCTCCTTGCCCTACTGCAACATTTTACACCTGTGCAGAAAAGGTACCACAGGAAGCCTGAGGCTGCTATGCTTAGGAAGAACTGTTTGCAAGAATGGTCCTTGGTTGGCATCTGGGAACTTGGATTTCAGAACTGTTCTCACCATTTCCTGGTAATGATGCCTCAGTGTTCATAAAATACTCATGAAAAATATTGAATTGAGGAATTCCTGTGCTGAGATCCCAGGCCACTTCCCTGAGATGTGTAGTCTAGGCTGGAGTACTATACCTACCACCAGCTAACTAGGCCCAACCTTTAACTGTCCCTTAAAATCCTCAACCACCCCTGTGGATTAGGATTGATCTAGCACATGAAGAGCCCATTGTATCACCCATAATTGGGCTTACTGATGTGCAGCTTGGGTACTGATGGGTAACAATAATCCATGGTCATTATCATATGCAGTGTTCTTAGGTTAAGTGAACAGAAAACAAAGGTGGTCTTGTAGAGCCTAGACAGTGTGGCCCAGGTTACTGGAACACATGGGAATGGCTACACCAAACCCAGAGAAACATCAACTGCAGTCAGTAGCCACAGGAGTATTACAGACAGGAGAGACACACCATGTTCTATCTTCTGAGAATACCCTGGCCCATTGCCTTTATGAACCTGTCCCTGGACAGTGTTGTTAGCCTTGACTGGGGTCTGACAAGCAAGACAGCTTTTTCATGCTGTTACGGTGTCTTCTCACAACTGTCACAGTCCATGCATTCCTGCCCAATGTGATCCTGCCTGAATTACCATGAGCCATCTCTTGGGGATCCAGGAGGCAGTTGGTTACACATCTGCTTACTCTGGAGTGAGGAACAATTCAGTTTCCACATTTAGCTGACAAATATAGTTTGCTCTTGGTAAAGTTCCCCTTTTTCAGCACAGGGTTTGGTGAGCATCCACATGGGTAACAAAATGGTTATTAGGAGCAGAACCCCTTCCTCCTCCTCAGGAAGAGTGCCCCCATTAGGACACTCTGAAGGAGGAGGTCTGTACTGACACACCCCACAAGGCGCTAAGTTTAATAAGATTATCTCCTTGTGAACAATGGTTCTTCTCAGAATCAAAAACTTTCTGTAAACAATCAGCTAACACCCCCTACGACCTAATAATATGACCAGCAAAGTGCCCCCATGGGACTATCAGGATTTTTGCTCTTACTGAATAGCACTGTATGATCACACTCTTACTGTACCCATTTGGTCATGCCATCAGGTGTCCAGGTGGTCAATCAGGAGGACAAGTTAAACTGAAACTAACAATCAAGGCTTTTATTCACTTACTGTGACAGTTCAAGCCAAGAGGTTAAAAAAAAAAGAGGCATCAGCCCCTCAGTGTTCCATTTCTCCCCCACGAAACAGCACAAGGTGAGAGTCAGGTGGAATGCGACGCAGATGGGAGAATTCATCTCATTTTCTAGGAGCAGTGAACAAAAGTCTTCTGTCTCTTTATGGGCGGAGGTGAGAGAGAAAAAGACTTGCTGTAGAAAAGTGCCTCAGCAGAGGCCCTCAATAAGGATGTTTTAGCAGAGCTGCTTGGGAAATGCCTAAGGTGAGGTCCCAATAACGAGGCCGCCAAATAGAGGCCACTGGGTTAAGGAGTGTAGACAAGCAAATGAGCCTGGTGGCCTGGGAGGCCGAATCCTTGACTACCACTCCCTCCAGAGACGCAATGCACTGGTCTTACACCAAGTTTGGTGTAGGGAGGGCACCTTCCCCTATGTGGCCTGCCAGAAAAAGCCTTGCAATTGTTTATGGTCAAGCCGAGATCACACATGGGATTTTGGTCTGAAGTGCACCTACTCACTTATTATAAGCAAGGTAGATTAATGCTGTGATACTATGAAGATAAACACAGTATAGTTACCAAACTCTAGTACCCATTCAATATAATTAAATCAAAAAGACATAACAAATACAAGTACAAAAGCAAAAAGACATAAAATACAAGGTATGATAAAGGGGAAAAAAGAATATGGAAAGGGTGCCACAGTTTTTTATCTCATAACTAGTAATAAAACTTTTGGGCACACCCTCATTTTATATCTATATAGACCTTAAAACAAGTGAAAAAATTAATAATACATAAAAATTGGTTCTAATTTAAAATATCAGATTCACATGCAAATATTCAGATATCTGAGTTGGACAAAGTTAAAACAATATTTTAAGTACATATATGTATACTCACGATTCATCTAAATCTTCTACAGCTCCTTTACAGACGACCATATCAAGTAAAACAACTGAAGAAAAGAAAAAGACAAAATGTACACAATAAATGCTGATTATTTGGCTCATACTGCATAAGCTTAGTCATCTTTGAAGTGTTTTTTGACCTTTTGCAACCTACCAAAAAATTCATCACTGATGCATTCCACGGTACAAATGATGCAAAAGCAGAAGTAGTTCATCCATTTAATAAACATCTAGTCTGTATGCAACCATATCATGACCGGCCAGGTTCTAGTAAGCCCATAAATCTAATAAACACAGAGTTCCTTTTTCCTACGTATTTTAACTCTCACCTTACTTTTCCTTTTTACCATCCTGTCTTTTTGGAATACAGGCAGACAGCATTCCTCTATATTTCTTTTGTTTTAGTAGCAATGATCTCTTCAGTAAAAATTACAAATGCCATTCAAAATATTTCCCCTGAAATAGACGGCTAGAACAAATCAAAGTCGAGCTGCAACTCTAATACTTAATACAGGGCATTGCCTGACACAGAATGGGCTCTTAAAGGTTGCTAAGTGAGCGGACCCCAGTGAGAACGAAGGCACCCAGGGCTGAAGAGAGGGAGCTGAGAACAGCGGACACACACTGAGTGTTTCACACCGCACAATCCCGGTGGCCTGACCCTGATCTGAGCCCTGGTGGTAAAAAGCCTTAAACGTGACAAGACTCAGAACCTAAAGCCAAGGCAAGATCTGGCGGTTAAGCTGGGACGGCAGCATCCTTCTTGCCCATCAAAGGAGTGAGCTTTATTGAAACTTCCTGCCACAATGAAGAAAACACAGACACAAGGAAGCGCGCCCTTCCCGCGCCCGGCACTGGCCCCGCACAGGGGCAAGGGAAAGACCCCCAGGTATCCACTCCGTCAGGGCCAGGCAGGTCGGCGTGGCGGGGCGGCAGGACTCTGCGGGACCGTGCGAGCGTCTCCGCGGACCCCACAGGCCTCGCCTCAGCCCCGGGCCCAATCCCGGCCCCACGGCGGGCCAGGTCCCAAGAGCCTGCCGGCGTCGCGACCTCTGCTCGATCATTACCTGTGGCGCAGAGCCGCAGGGCGGCCCGACACCTCCAGGCTGCCATGCTAGCCTGGGAGAGCTGCAGAAGCTGACTCTGTGCAATAGAGAGAAAAGATACCGGTGTCCGCTGCCTTCCCGCCAGGAAAGGGAAGCGGAGCTGACCCAGAGCGGAAGAGAAGCTCCGCTCAGAATACGGGGGCGGGGCAGGCCGGCCTCCGTTAAGCTCCCAGGACCCCGCCGGTCTCCGTCTCTGAGTATGCGCGGAGTGCGGCGCATGCGCCGGGAGGGCAGCGTCTGCGCTGTCGTGTGCTTCAGCATCCTTTGCGCCCTCGGCCCCTCCTGAGGAGCGTGGGAACCCAGCGTGCGGGCTTTATTCGGGAAAGCGGTGGTTGTTCACGGGGGCACGTTTCCGGAAAGGTGAATACTGGAGAAAGTTAGGTTGCAGGCGAGGTAGACTCCCACGACGCACTTACGGGATGAATATTGGCACATCATTTGCTTGCTGCTCCCGTGCAGTGAGTGCACCTGTGCGTTTTAATGCTGGATCAAATTTGTGGAAAGAGGCGCGCCTGAAGACTGGATTGCTGAGCTGCGCGCCACTCTGTGTTTTTCCAAAGCGTTTTTGAAATCGTCTTTCAACCTGTTTGCATAAAGGGACATCTCTTAAATGCAGCAAGCTTTAATGCACTTTTGCCAAAGTAAGGATTGCCTCTTTAAAAACTTTCTCTTGAAACTTGAGAACATAAAGTTAGGCTTAGGATTTTTTATGACTTTTCTGATTATTTTGGAATTAAATAAAATAGTATGAAATATTCATATTGCTACCTGTTTTTTTTTTTCTACAGGACAATGATTTGTAAAACCCATATTTCTTTTATATGAGGTTACTGCAGCAGTCGCTACTTCTGAATTAGATGAAATTTTTATGGGACGTAAGGTACCAGAGGATTTAGATCAAATTTTGAAAACCTATGAGAACAACAGAAAGGGTAAGTTATGATGTCAGCCGGTTCACCTTAGGTTCAAAATTCCAACAGGCGGAAATGTTCTAAAGCATTGTTATTCCTAGTGACTAGAAGATTAAATTACACTCTAATTGAGAGCAAGCCTTAAATGTCACCCCTTTTGGGCATACAGCATGGTATCCAGTGCAAGCCCTCTGCAGATTCAATTTTTCTTTCTTTCTTTCTTTTTTTTTTTTTTTTAAAGAAAAAGACTAAAACATAAGGGGACTGTTGAAGTGACGGGAATGTTCTCTCAATGGTGGTGAAACAGCTTTATAATAGTACCATGGACTTGATACTCTTCTACAGAAGCTTTTCTACTCTCTTGGCAGTATCTCTGAAAGACCCATATTCAGTTTGTTTTTACATTCTAATGTATTTCAAAGTTCTCTGTCTTCCACAGCATGCAAAATAAAATAATTTCTTTGCATATTTGCATTACAGTTTAAGTTAGCATGTGGAGAACAACAAAAACCAGTTAACCTAGATCTGTGCTCTTCAATAGTGTAGCCACTAACCACCTGTGGCTATTGAGCTTTTGAAACATGCCGTGTCATGAAGTAACTGAATATTTAATTTTAATTTTAGGAAATCAAAAAACTGACACTCGATTCAGTTATTGGAAAGTTTTTTTAATCTGATTGGAACAACTGAGGTATTTGAATCTACTTTTTCAACTGTAAATTTTATGAAATCTAAAAACTGATCATTTCCCAGGTGTGGGTGGCTCTTAACTGTTTGCCAGCATTTTGGGAGGCTGAGGCAGGAGGATTGGTTGAGGTCAGGGATCCAAAACCAGTTTGGGCAACACAGTGAGACCCCGTCTGTACAAAAAGTTTAAAAATTAGCCAGGTGTGGTGGCACACACCCGTGGTCCCAACTACTCCAGAGGCTGAGGTGGGAGGATCAATTGGGCCAGGGAGGTTGAGGTTGCAGTGAGCTGTGATTGTGCCACTGCATTCCAGCCTGGCAACAGAGCTAGACCATGTTTCTATAAAATAAATACCAATTACGTATTTCTGATGAAATTAGGGAGGTTGTAAGGAGGTATAGTATAAATGTAAAATATACACTGGATTTGGAAGGCAGTATAAAACTGTTAAATGTCTCAGTATTTTTGTATTGATTATATGTTGTAATGCCTATAGCTTAGCTATATCTTAGATATATTGAGTTAATAAAATAAATTATTAGAATTAATTTCACCTGTTTTTATATTTCACTGTGTTTCCAAGAAAATTTATAATGACATATGTGCTTTGCATGATATTTTCATTGCAGGCAATGTGAAAATGTTCAAAATTATGCATTAATGTGAAAATGATTTAATAAACTAATAGACTTTTTAGGCCTTTTGTTCAGAGAACATGCTAAATTTCCATATGCTAAAACATATTCAGTGTTCAAAAATTTAAGTGTTTTTTTCCTGCTTATCTACCTCAAGTGGTGATCACTTTTTTTGTGATTTAAAAGGTTCTACTATTTTGACAACATCTTTAAAAAGACTTTCAGATAAGCTACACTTGTACAGATACATGCCTTATATATTTTGCCTACATATGGCTGTAGTCTAAATGTGTATCGCAAATTGCATATGTTGAAACTTCATTGCCAATATGATAATATTAAGAGATTGGGCCATTTGTGCATGATTTAATCATGAGGTGGAACGCTCATGAATGTGATTAGAGACCTAATAAAAGAGACCGAAGGGATTGTCTTAGTCCCTTTTCCCCTTCAACCTTAAGCCATATGAAGACACAAGAAGAAGGTACCATCCTTGGAAGCAGAGAGCAAACCCTTATCAGACATCAAACCTGCTGACTCCTTGATGTGTAGCCTCCAGAACTTTAAGAAATAAATGTTGATTATTTATAACTTATCAAGTCTGTGCTATTTTGTTACAGAGCATCAACAGGCTAAGTAAGACACATGTGCTTTCCAAAAGTCATATACACGGGTGTCTTGTCTATGGTAGGACTGTTTGCAATTGTGAAAAGCTAAACAATTCAAATCTGTAAAAGTAGAATAGATAAATTGTGTTGTTATCCTGTAGTAAAGTACTATATAGTAATGAGAATGAATGAACTTTTGTATGGAGAACTATGTGGTTGCAAATCATAAACTAAATGTTGAACAGAAGAAGCCAGAAACTGAAGAAAGATACTATATGATTTTATTTACGTAAGCTCAAAAGCAGGCAAATTAATCAATAGTGTTAAAAGTCGAGGTACAGGTAAATGTCGTGTTTCTTGATCTGTGTGCTGCTTACAAAGATATGTTCACATTGCGAAATGCGTTGAGCTGTACCTTTAGGATTTCTGTACTTTTCTGTGTGTGGACTCTAATAATAAAAGCTTCAAAATAAGAATAAATAAATAAAGCTAAATACATTTATGGTTTTTAATGGAGAGATATTGTGTAGTTTTAAGCAGTTCTTCTCAAATTTTAAGCATCAGTTACCTGGAGAACCTGATTTAATACAGATTCTAATCAATCCCTAGAAAATCTGACCCTGTGGGGCCCATCAATTTACATTTCTCACAAGTTCCCTGGTGATGCTATTGTTTCTATCCTGCATATCTCTTTTAGTGATGTTGAGGGAAGATAGTTTCAGAAAATACCATTTCTTTTTAAATCGTGTTATATAAAATATGCTTTAAGAAATAATAAGAGAAAAATCTCTTATATATTGATTATAGTAACCATTATTTTTTAAGTATATTAGCTACGTTAAAAATACTGGGACCAGAATAGGAGCATAAATACAGACAGCAAAACTTAAAGAGATATAGAACAACCTTACAGAAATACATATGAAAACTTAAAAGTCAATATCATTTAAAAAATGAAACAAAATGGGTTCAAGAACTAAATAGACTTAATAATTAGCCACTAAAGAAATTGAATCAGAAGCTTAAAATTATATCATTAAAAAATGAGACCTGATTAATTTTAAAATACGTGCTACCCATCTTCATGAAAACAAAAGTTAGCCTGTATTGGGATTCTCCAGAGAAAGGAAACTGAAGAAAGCCTTATGATGGGAATGGCTTATGCAGTTACGAAGACCAAGAAGTCCTGTAATCTTCCATCTGCAAGCTGGAGAACCAGCAAGCCACTCCACGTGTTTAATTCAGTCTACGTCTGAAGACCTGATAATGAGGGTCCAAAGGCCTGAGAACCACAAGTTAGTGATGTAAGTCCTGGTCTGAGTCCCAAAGCCCAAGAACCAGAAGCAATGATGACCAAGGGCAGGAGAAGATGGATGTATCAGCTCAAACACAGAGAGCAAATTCACCCTTCCTCCATCTTTTTCTTCTATTCAAGGGTTTCATTGAATTGGATGATGCCCACCCAAATTGTGGAGCCCATCTACATTGCTCAGTTACTCATTCAAATGTTAACTGTTTCCAAAAACATCCTTATAGATACACCTAGAGATAATGTTTTACTGGCTATGTGGGCATCTCTTAGCCCAGTCAAGTTGAAACAGAACAATCACACTGTTGTTATAGAGACTTCTATACAATTAAAAAATAGGGAACACTCACCAGTTTGCTCAGTGGCTAGCATTAACTTGGCAGCCAAACCAGAGGAATCATGTGACAATGGAAAACAAATAGGCCCATTTCACTTGTGAACAAAAATTGAAAAGTTTCCAATAAAATACCAAACCAAATGTAGCAGGGCACTGAAAAAGATAATTATGACCAAATTATTATTATTTTTGTCCAGAAATGCAAGCCTTGGTTTAACTTGGGGAAAAAAAAAATTAATGAAAGTTTCTTTAGTAACTCATAAAAGATAACATAATCATTTAAATAAATTCAGTAAAAGAAATTTTTGTACTTCAACCTCCAATCAGTAATAAATTAGGAATAGGAAGACAATTCTATGGCATGTTGTGCTTTAAAGGTTAATTTCTACCAGTTTTGGAATTATTTTTAGATGTTTTGCCAAATTTTTTGCATAACTAACCACTGGTCAATCACCAAAACGTACTGATTAATAATGATACTTTTGTAGCCATGGATCAATGAATTTTCAGGTGGTTTTCACCTATTTGTTACATTGTTTATTAATTAGTATGAGATTAATTTGCATTTGGTCTTAGTGAAATCTCCAGCCGGTCCTACTGTTGAATCTGATTTTGTAGCAGTGATATATATATATATATAACCAGGAAAATATTTAAAAACTCAGGTAAGACTCCATCTTGTGATCCTTCCTTCCAAAGTGTTCTATGTACATGCAAATGATTCCTGATCCAAGAGAAATGTGTGCCCACGACTCTTTCAGAAGAAGCCAGAAGCTTTCACCTGGAATCTTTTTCCAGACTCCTTCCAGGGAGAGGGACTTTAATCCGTATCTTTATTTCAACAGTGTTATTACATTGTACCCCTTTCCTGCATAGATTTGTAACCTTGTTACATGGAGCCCTTTGAGTCTTTTTTAGCAAGTGAACTCTGTTTTTGTACAGTTGATATTAGAAGTGGGATTGAGTGGAAGACTCCTGACTCAGCTGGGCATAGTGGCTCACACCTGTAATCTCAGCACATTGGAAAGCCTAGACAGGAGGGTGGATTGAGATCAGGAGATCGAGATCAGCCTGGGCAACCTAAGCTAGCCCCTGTCTCTACAATAACTTAAAAAGTAACCAGGCATGTTGGTCTGGCTACCTGTAATCCCAGCTGCTTTGGAGGCTGAGGTGGGAAGCTTGCTGGAGGCCAAGGGTTTGCGGCTACAGTGAACTATGATCACACCCCTGCCCTCCAGCCTGTGGGACAGACACAACCTTTAAATAAAAGACTCCCAGAGACTGGAAGACTGCTCTCTTTCTGCAGCAAGTTCCTACTTTCTCAGAACTTGTGATTAGTCATTTGTTAATAATGGCTGGGCATCTACATAAACATCATTTATTGAAGCATAATTTATGTGCAAACAAAAAAAAGTGTCATTAGGGTACAGGTTAATGAATTTCTACAAAATGAGCATACCCATGTAACTGTTTCTTGTGATGATCCAGAAACGGATCATTGATGCACCCACAAAACCACCCTGTCCCTACCACCCTTTGTCCCTTTCCAGTGCTCCTTCTACCTTTTCCCTTTACTGCCTCTGTGCTCCAGAGAACCACGCTCCTGACTTCTGACAGGTGAGATTAATTTTGAACTTGATACCAATGGGATCATACAGGATACACTCTTTTGAATCTGGTTACTTTCACTCAACATGAAGCTTGTGAACTTCATCCAGAAAAAATTTTAAAAGTGAGATTCCTGACTCATTCTTTGCTAAAATTATGACATAAGCACTATTTAGAAATAAAAAAAGGATGAATCTGATAAACAGGAGGAAAATATACTATCGATACAGAGGTGCTTGCTACGCTATGCTTGGTTGGAAGTAGCAAAGTGTTTGGTATTAGCTACTGAAAATAAGACTTCCTACTGCAATCTGGAAATTATAGAAGCTGAATTCCAGGAACTAGCAAAATTAGAAGAGAAATCCAAACTTACGGCAAGCTGACTAAAATTCCAGTGCCTAGTTGTTGGTTTCAAGATGAGCAAAACCAAAAGTAAGGTCTGAAGCTGCACTTCCTCCTCCCTGGCTGTCAGATGAAACCCCAGCCATAGGAACTTGGACACTGACTTTTGGTGAGCCAGCTAAATCTGAGGTTATAACCTCCTACAACTAAGAAGATAATTCAAGTGGGGGCAAGTGGATGATGGAAGGGAGGAAACAACTGAAGTCAGGGCTTCTGTAAAGCAAGAGTGGTATTTCCTACATGGTTACAAGCATCGCCCTGATGAAGCTTTGTTTGAATGGCTTCTGAGAATTTTAGATTCCTAGCACTGTCTTTAGCTTTGAACACTGTTGAGGAAGGGGAACGTTTGCACCCATCCTGCATTTTTTTGGCTGCTATCTTTGTGAGCATTGTTCAAGGAGAAATCCATCCTGACTGGAATGGATTAAAGAGGGAACAGTCATTCCCCAGAGAAGGGCAATTTCCCCACTCTTCCCTTGTCATTAAATGGTCTACTGAAGCTGCAGAAATGATGATGATGCAGGCATTACTGGCCTGACTATATGACAATGAAACAAGCTCCCTCTGGGATGCTTCTTATCCAGCTTATGAGTGCTGCTATTAAACCTTAAAGTTCCAAAATAATCTCCTTTGACTCTATGTCTCACATCCAGTGCACACTGATGCAAGACATGGGCTCCCACGGCCTTGGGCAGCTCTACTCCTGTGGTTTTGCAGGGTACAGTGGCTCTCCTGGCTGCTTTTACAGACTAGTGATGAATGCTTTTGGCTTTTCCAGCTGCACGGTACAAGCTGTCAGTGGATCTACCATTCTGGGGGTGTGGAGGATGGAGGGCCTCTTCTCACAGCTCCACTAGTCAGTGCCACAGTGGGGACTCTGTCATAGAGTCTCTGACCACACATTTCCCTTCCGCATTGCCCTTTCAGAGGTTCTCCATGAGGTCTCTGCCCCTGCAGCAAAATTCTTTGCTGGACATTCAGCATTCCCATACATTATCTGAAATCTAAGTGGAGGTTTCCAAACCTCAGTTCTTGACTTCTGTGCATCCACGGGCTCAACACCATGTGGAAGCTGCCAAGGCTTGGGGCTTGCGTTGTCAGAAGCAATTTCCCAAGCTGTACTTTGGCCTCTTTCAGCCATGGCTGGAGCTGAAGCAGCTGAAACATAGATCACTAGGTCCTGAGACTGCACAGAGCAGGGGGCCCTAAGCTTGGCCCGCAAAATCATTTTTTTTTCCTTAGGCCTCTGGGCCTGTGATGGAAGGACCTGTGTGAAGATTTCTAACATTCCCTGAAGACATTTTCCCCTTTGTTTTGGTGATTAACATTTG